TGGGCCTGGGCCTGGTGACGGTGACAAGGCTCCTGTGGCATGTGCGCGTATGTGCACGTGTGCTCCAGAGTGCTGTGTGTACGAGTGTGTGGGCTTCGGGCACCCATGAGGCTGAGGGTGAAGGGGTGCGTGTGCGAAGCTGCTTGTGTGGGAAGATAGGTGTCGGGGCATTCGTGTGTCTGCGTGCACACGAGTGTGCGAGGGTGTGGGGCAGTGTGGGTGTCAGCAGGTGTGTGCTTTTGAGATCATGTGTACATGCACAAGTGTGCATGTGTGTGAGGATGTGTGTGCTTCAGGTTGTGTGCAAACGTATCGGGGTGTGTGAGGGTGAAGCTTGCGTGTACTCGTGTGAAGGTGCGTGTGAAAGGGCACGTGCTGTGTGCGCTGTGAGGACTGTGTGTGCGTGGGTGTGAGTGTCACACGTGCAGAGCTGCCTCCCAGGGTGATGGGAGCCCCGCGGCCGCCCAGGCCGAGCTTTGCACACGCGCAGGTCCAGAGCTGGGTCCCAAACTCCTGCTGAGTCCACGGGTGCTTACAAGATGCTTCTGCTCCTTGTGAGGAGTTGACACATGGACACAACACATCTTAATTCTTTTTCCACACCCTGCTCCTTCTTTCCCTTCCCTTCATCTCTTGATCCCTTGTCCCATTTGACAAAGAGCTATCTCCCTACTTCCTGTTAGCTTTTATTTTGCTCTTTACTTATAATTTGGGTTTCTCATATGAGAAACTATGTGAAATTTAAGCTTACATGTCTGATTTATTTCACAAAACATTATGAGTCGGGCGTGGTGGCACATGCCTGTGATCTCAGCACTCAGGAGGCTGAGACAGGACAGGAGGATTGCCAGGAGTTTCAGGTCGGCCTGGATTACAAAGAGTTCAAGACTAGCCTGAGCTACACAGCAAGACCCTGTCTCAAAAAATAAAAAAGGACTGGGGATTTAGCTCAGTGGTGCCCCGCCTGCCCCACAAGCGCAAGGACCTGAGTTTGATCCCCAGTACAAAAAAAAAATGGTCTCAAGGTGCATCCATTTTCTTACAAATGATTCAACTTTATCCTTTATAGCAGAGTAGTACTCCACTGTGTGTAAATATTACATTTTCTTTATTCGTCTGTTCATCGACATACACACTGCTTCCAAGATTTAGCTATTAGGAGTTGTGCTGTTATAAACATGGGTATGCGTGGATCACTGGAATATGATGTCTTTAACTCTTTTGGGAAGACACTAGAAGGGGAATAGCTGGGTCAAATGGAATTTCTACTTTTAGTTTTTTGAGGACTCTCCACACTGATTTCCATAGTGATTGTATAGTTTACATTTCCACCAACAATGTACAGGGTTCCTTTTTCCCCATATCTTCACCAGCACTTGTTACTGTTAGATTTTTTGATCATAGCTATTCTTTCTGGAGTAAATGGAATCCAGTGTTGGCTTAATTTGCATTTCTCAAATGCCCAGCAACGATGAGCATTTCTTCATGCGTTTATTGGCCATTTGTACTCCGAGAAGTGTCTATTCATTTCTCTTGCCCATTTTTTAATTGAGTCTTTTATTTTGGCAGGGTCTAACTTTTTGAGTTCTTTATATATTCTAGATATTAGTCCCCTGAAGTTGGGAATTAATTTTCACGGGAAAGGACAGCCTCGGTGTTAGGACCCTGTCTTTTTTTTTTTTTTTTTTGGTACCAGAGATCGAACTCGGGTCCTTGTGTTTGCACAGCAGGCGTCGAAATCACTTAGCTAAATCCCCGGCCCGAGCCTTGGTGTTAGGGACTGACTTGTGTCCCCCCAGATTTATGCACTGAAGCCCTTGCCTCTCAGAATGTGGCTAGGCCTGCAACAGGGTCTTCAAAGAGGAGATTAAAGCCAAGTGTAGTGACTCATGACTATAATCTCAGTATCCAGAAAGCTGAGACAGGAGGATTGCTACGAGTTCAAGGCCAACCTGAGCTATAGAGAGACCCTGCTACCCCCTGCCCCCAGAAAAAGATCTAGATAGAGATTCAGGTAAAATGAGGAGTTTGGCCTGAGCCCTGTGCCAACATGACCTGTGTCCTGGAAAAAAGGACTGGAACTAGGCCTCAGTCACCTGGGGTCCTACCCAGGGCGACAGTGAGAGGCCTGACAGGGCTGTGGCGTATCCTCTCAGTTCTGAATGCTCAAGTCCACAGTCATAGTGACTATGCTTGCTCCTGCTGTTGAGTACTGGTCACCCCAGTGTCCCCTGACCCGTGCCTGTGTCAGTCCTGCCTCTGCCTCCACTGCCCCACCCTCTGTGTGCCCTGTGCCTTCTCCTTTCCTATCTCGATGGGGACACCATGCCTGGCTTTCGGGGCCTCCCTTATATGGACGACCACCTCGACTCCATCAGCAAAGACCCTGCTTCCAAACGAGGTCACACTGGAGGTTCCAGGCAGACTGGTCGCTGGGGCCCGTCCGAGCCCCGTCATGTACTCAGAGATGTTGGCTCCCCCCATGCCAGCGACCATGAGATCTCTGAGGGCTGGGACTCAGAGACACTCACTTGAGAGCACCAGCCCTGGCCCAGAAGCAGGGGAAGATGAGGCCAGCGAGGTGGCCCTGGGTGGGACGGGGACACCAGGAAAGGTTTGGGCAACAAACGGGAAGAGAGAGAGTCACGCCCCCACTGCACACCCTGCTCTCTTCCAAGCTGCTGCACACACCCGTGTCCCCCGGATCTCTGACTGTCCCCCAGCTCTGTGCCCCGGGCCAGGACTCTGACACCACAGCTGGCACTGAGCCTGCAGCAGGGGGAGGAGCACTGGGCTGCTCCTCATTCGCTGGGTGGCAGGATGTCCCCTTGGGCTGGGCTTCTCTGGATCCTCAGCCCCGGGGACAGGACAGCTCCCACAGGCACAGATCTGGGACCAGGATGCTCTGGAGCTTCCTCCTCGCCTTTGGAGCTGGGTGCTGTCCCCAAGATGGAGTCTGGGACAGTTTCTCCCGAGTCTGAGGCTACTGAGGCCCTGGAGACTTGGAGGAGAAATGCTGTCAGCCCTTAGCCGCAGACACGGAGGCCTGACAGCATCTGTGGTCAGGGCCAGCTTGGTGCCACGCCAGGGGATGTCCCCAGGGGACACCCGAGCTCCCAGCAGGCATGCCGTCACTGAGGACCCAACCTCAGGTGACTGTCACCACCCACGGCAGCCTGGGCTTCCCCTCAGGACTTCTGTACACCTCAGCCGTCCACCGCCACCGGCCACTGGTCACCAAAGCCCCCTCCCTCCCGGGTGACAGAGCCTGCAGGGCAGAACTGTGAGACCTTGCACCTGGACATCACCAAGGGGCGGAAGCGAGGGTCTAAGATGGAAATGACTCTGACGTGTCTTTATCCTGTCTCCTCCTGGTTCCCCCGGAAGGTGGGAGTAAGAGCGAACCCCAGGTGGCGCTGACTTCTGGGTGACACTGATCTCGTTATGGTAAACAAGGCGCCCAAGGCCACACTGTCAGGATGGGACAGAGCTGGGGTCCCTGAAACCCCACGTGCCCTCCCTGCATTACCTTCCACTAGGCTCTCCCCACAGCGGCTGAGAAGCACATGGCAAGTCTACAACCAAGGTCGAGAGAACTTTGGTGGAACAAAACGTAAATTCTCAGGGCCGGGTATTCAGCTCAGGGGCACTGTGCCTGCCTCCCAAGTGCAAGGTCCTGAGTTTGATCCCTGGTACCGGATCAGAACTGGATGTTCCACAGGCACATGGGGAAGTCTTTCCGGAATCTGTGATTTCTGCTTTCTGGGGTCAGATATGCTTCACTTCCACAGAGGAGCAGCTGCCAGGAGCCGCTCTGTCCTTTGGAGGGATCCTCAAGAAGCTTCCTTTGTGGCCTGTGGTCACAGGAGCTGGGACCCGTTTTGAAGAGGCTGGAAGTAGCTTCGATTTGTCTCCATACCCCTGTCATCTGCACGCCCGGGACGGGGCCTGCAGCTGCTGACAGACGAAGGACATTTCCAGGAGGATGTGCCAGCTGTCCCCACCCTCCCTACGCCTGGAGGTCTGGTGCAAGAGCAAATCTCAGCCCCGAACACTTGGTCCCGGTGCTGTCCGCCTCTGTATTCCCAAGGCTGGGGCTCCCTGCCTCCATTACTAACACTCTTAGCTAGGTGCGGTGGCGCACACCTGTAATCCCAGCACTCAGGAAGGGAGGCAGGAGGATCTCCAGGATTTCGAGGGCAGCCTGAGCTACATAGTGAGACTTTGTCTCAAACAAAACAAAACAAAAATAAAAATAAAACAGAAGATAAGTCTTAGCAAAGATGGAGAAAAGATCCTTGTGTATTGCTAGTAGGTAACCAAATCAGTACAGTGGTTCTCAAAAGTAGAAAACAGAATAACACAGGAACCAGCAATTCCACTCTAGGTTTAGACCCAAAAGGATTGAAAGCAGGGTCTCAAAGAGAGCTCTGCACACTCGGGTTCACAGTGTTATTACCGCTGCAAGGGGAAGTGACCCGCACGGCATCAATGGAAGAGTGGATAAACAACATGGCATCGATCCACACAATGAAATATTACTCGGCCTTAAACAGGTGGGGTTGGAGTGTGGCTCAGTGGCAGAGCACTGGCCTTGCATATGCAAGGCCCTGGGCTCAATCCCTGCACCACACACAACAGGACAGAGGATACAGGGCCTTCCCACTGAGCTACATCTCCAGACCATTTTTTTATTTTGAGACAGGCTCTCATTAAGTCCCTAAGTTGCCCAGGCTTAAACTTGCGATCCTCCTGCCTCGGCCTCCCAGAGTGCTGGGATTATAGCCTGCACTGCCATGCTCAGCTCCCTGCTGCTTTTTACCTCCCTCTGGCCTGGGCCCCGCTCTGTCTTGGACCCTCACAGTCTGCAGGGCGCCACCTGTGCAAGACGCCGCAGCCAGTGACAAATGCCCAGCACCAGGCAGCCCGTGTCCTTCCCAGGGGAGGGGAGGGCGGCTGAGGCCAGGCCGCCGAGGGCATCAGCAGGACAGACCCACACAGGCAGGAACAGGAGCGGGGCTTTATTACAAACTCATCCCCAAAACCACTGGCCCCACCCCGAGACCCCACTCTGTATCCCGAGGTGGGCAGGGGCTTCCTCCTCGTGGCACTGCCTGCAGAGGACGCTGGGGCTGACAGCGCTGCCGTCCAGGTGGCCAGAGCTCAGGGCTTCACTGTGGGGCCCGTGGGACTTGGGGCTCTGACCACATCGGAGTGGGGCGCGGGGCCTGCTCTGGCAAGGCCTGGGCAAGGGGTGGGAAATGTCAGGCTCACTGGGGTCCTGAGTCTTAGAGTCTGGCTCAGCTTCCGGGGTCGGGCAGGGGAGGCGGGGAAGGGCGCGAGGGTGCAGGGGACAGGGCCTTGTACCCCCACTCCCGTCCTGCCCCTCAGGGGACTCTGCCGCCCCAACTGTACCAGGTGAGAAGGGCTGGCGGCCAGCAGCTTCCGGTGCTGGGCCGCAGAGGAGACCGAGGACCAGAGGTCGAGACTCCTGGGGGCCGAGCTTCTCTCGGGCTTTGGAGGGGCAATGTCCCAGCCCAGCAGACAGTGCTGCAGAGCGCGGAGTGAGGGCGGCACCCGCTCAGGATGGAGGGGCCCCAGGACAGGAGCCTCTCCCAGGCCTCCCCCTCCAATCCATCCTGGTCCGGCCACCCGGGGGCCCCGGGGCTGAGACGGAGGCGGCACAGGAGCCAGCACCTCACCACCCAACACTAAGACGGCACCGTGACCTCCTCCTTACAGGCGAGCCAACTGTCCGTCCACTCCCTCTGCTCCCAACCCCACGTGCCCGGCCTCAGGTGGGAGGCCGCTCCAGGAAGCGACTGTCCCCAGGCCTGCACACATGGCACCCGAGAGCTCTGTCACGGGGCCACCTGCGGGTGCCCGGGTACAGGCTGGCACCTGTCCTGGAAGCCACGGCGGACATCACCCCTGACCCCAGGACCAGCCCAGCTCGGCTGCGGGAGAAGACACTCCAGGGCCTGTTCTGTGCCCGCCCTCAGGGACCCCGAAGCCCTCCCCGGGCCTCCAAGTGCCTCTGGCCCTCCCACGTGCCCGCCCAACCCCTGGCCCGCTCACCCGAGGCAGGGCCAGCGTGTTGGAGGCGTCGAAGCTCTTGCGTCGGTGGATACGGTACCGGTGCGGGGGGTCCAGGACCGAGGGCGGGACGCTCACCCTGCACAGGGGTGTGGTGAGGGCACAGCCCACCTCTGCCCCCTCGGCTGCCACCTCCGCTGCGGGGCTGCCCCCAGGGGTCCCGGTGTCCCAGCCACCACTCACTGGACCTGTGCAGGCTCTGCCAGGGTCTCGGGGCCCCGCTGGTCCCGAGGGGTCCCACACAAGCGGCAGGGGACACCAGGGTCCGAGGGCACCAGGAACAGGCGCCGGTTGACACGGTAGGAGAACACACCTGTAAGAGCCACGAGAAGCACCAGGTCCCTTGAGCTGGGGCCTGGCTTTGCCCAAGCACATGGGCTCCAACCCCTCTGGGAAGCAAGTCCAGGCCCAGGGTGGGGGTGGCACACAGGGAAGGCCCCATTCCCGTGAAGCCCCCCAAACAATTCGGGGTCCCCCAGAGCCTTGACACTCACACTCATGGCCCTTCTCCGCATCCTCACCCTGCCGCAGGCCTTGGAGGTGGGGCCTGCGGGCACAGAGAGGAGGAGTGGGAGGAGGGCTGGGCCCCGCCCCTCGCCGGGCCCCGCCCCCTCGCCGGGCCCCGCCCCCTCGCCCGCCAGCTCACTCGTGGACGCGGCCGATGCACTCCTCCCGGTGGGCCTCCCGGAACTCCTGCAGCTCGGAGAAGAAGGCCTCGGGCTTGCTGCTGACAGGTGAGCTGCTGTCCAGGGACCCTGGCAAGGGCGAGGCAGGGGAGTGCTGAAGCCGGGGGTGGGGGCCCGGCCGGCCCTTAAGGTGCCCGCTGCACCCCATGAACACCAGCAGGGGACCGTCCACCTGCGTGGGTTTTGCTGAACCATGGCATGGTCTGGAGCCCCCCCCCCGCCGCCCCCCCCCAAACAGGTCGGCGGGAAAAGCACAGGGAGCAAAAGGCCCCGCCCCATGAGGCTCTCATTCTAAAGTGATGACAGACGAACTGTCACCAATGAAATCCGTGAGACAACACTGAATGGTGATACCCACCGGGGCACAAGAGTGGGCCCAGGCCAATGATGGTGGCAGGTCTACAGTGCCAGGGGAGGTGACAGCCAAGCAGAAACCTGATGACCCCATGTGGACACCTCAGGAAGGGCCCCGCAGGTGGGTGAAAAGGCAGATGCAAAGGCCCTGGGGCAGGAGTGTGCTTGGTGTTTGGACAACACCCAGGAGAGGGAATGAATGGCTGGAACTGAGGGGTAAGATGGATGAGATGGGGTTAGGAAGCCCATCATGGGCTGGGGACAAGGAGTGACACAATCAGCTCAGCCATGGATGTCTACAGGACTCCTCCTCTGGCTGCCACTAGATGAGGGAAGCAGGGCCACCAATCAGGCCACGACAGGGATCCATGTGGGAAGCAGCAGTGGGAGTCCAGAGAGGTACTGAAGGGCGCTCGACAGAGGTGCTCATGGACCGGGCAAGCTTGTACAGAGGGGGACAAGCCACCATGGTGAGGCGCATGCCTGTGACCCCAACACTCAGGAGGCTGAGGCAGGAGGATCACCAGGAGTTCAAGGCCAGCCTGGGCCCCATGGTGAGTTCAAGATTAGCTTGAACTGCATAATGAGGCCCTGTCTCAAAACCTATGGAAATAAACACATGAAGGGAAAGAGGGTACAACACACACACACAAGGCGACCAGAGGCAGGCACCTCTGTCTTTCCAGAGACAGGAAGCAAGGAGCGCAAGGTCTGTGTCCCCACAACCATGGGGCCACAGCACCCCAAGGACACTAGTCCCAGTGCCTCAGCCTCCTGTGCCTCAGTTTTAGCCTTTGTAGAATGGGGACCCAAACAGCACCAAGTGCATAGTTCACTTATTCACTCAACTACTGTTTGCCACAGTCCTTGGGCTTGGGGAACAGGGCAAAGACAAGATGGCCGGATGTCTACTCTGAGGCTGCCGCTGAGGAGGAGGAGAGCAGTTCTGAGAACGTCTGTCGGGAAGACAGTTCCTGAGAATGCTATGCAGAAACCTGGCTGAGGGCACAAGCAGTGGCATGGGTGGCGGCCCTGTGACACTGCACTCAGAGAAGATCTGGTGACAGAGCTAAGCCCTGCACAATGACAAGGGACCAGTGGGAGCAAGCTTGGGAAGTGCACACCAGACAGCAGACACAGCAAGTGCAAAGGGCCTGGGGTGGCCATGTGCATGGCAGGCTCAAGGATCACCAAGGCCAGCGAGGCCGGAACAGAGAGAGGTATCAGTTAGCCCGAGGTCAGGATACAGCAACAGCAGGGGCCAGATCCTGCCTTGTGTCTGGACAGGATGCTAGGATTTACAGTCAGGGAAACCTCTGCGGAGAAGAGCAAGGGAGGACCTTCTCTGACTGCCACATTTAAACACTCATTCACAGCGGGGCCTGTTGGCACAGGCCTGTAATCCTGGCACTCAGGAGGCTGAGGCAGGAGGATCACTAGGAGTTCGAGGCCAGCCTGGGCCACATAGTGAGTTCAGGGCCAGCCTGAACTGCGAAGTGAGACCCTGCAGAAAGAAAGAGAGAGAGAGAGAGAGAGAGAGAGACAGAAAGACAGAGAGAGGGGGGAGGGAGGGAGGACAGACACAGGAATTTCTACAAGAGAAAGTTCTTGGGCCGGGGGTGTAGCTCAGCGGCACTGTGCCTGCCTCGAAAGCGCAAGGTCCTGACTTCGATCTCTGGTACCAAAAAAAAAAAGAAGAGAAAGTTTTGGAGGGACACGACAGCCGCACAATAACATGCCGTGCTCAATGCTACCACACACGCTGTGCTTCTAAATATGGTGAAAATGGTAAATGTCAGCTTGTGCCTATTTTATCTTGAAACTTTTTTTTTCAGTATTGGGAATTGAACTCAGGACCTTGTGCATGCCAGGCCAATGTTCTACTACTGGGCTATATCCTCAGCCCTTGTTATGATACACACACACACACACACACACACACACACACTTTTTTTTTTTTTGAGACAGGGTCTCATGGCGAAGCCCAACCGACCTCCAAGGCTGTTTGACAAAGTTCCAGCTGGGGGAAAGAAGGTGGAACACATCGTACCCTCATGTTTTATTTTTTCTTGCCATAATGTTTAAAATTGTTACTCTGGTCACTGGAGTCACTGTGTTTGTGACTCACAACAAACTCTCCATGAGGCAAATTGGCAATGATATATTGAAATCTGATCTGGCTCAAAAGTCCCAAATTCCAGTTTCTCTTAGTTCTATTGCCACATCCACTTCTAAAGAAACCTCTCCTGAAACTCCCTCTGTTTTCCCGCTACTATAACTCCCCCCTCTTATTGCTGACCTTCTTATTACTAAAGGGGTCTTATGAAGAAAATAAAAGGACAGACTTTAGATGTAAGAAATAGTGGGAAATAAGAAATAGAGAGAAAGATGAGACAGGTAAATGCATTAAGGAGGCAAGTTACTCAATATTTCTCACAGTGCTGAAAATATCTCGTGCTCATGAACTATGAACCCAAATGACAGTTAGTTAAGATAAACAGAGGTATAGAGAGGTAGAGAGCTAATAGCAAACTATATTAACCGTTGTGCAGTTTCTCAAGGGCCAGCTGGTGACCACAAGTTTGACATTTAATTAATTAAATCTTGCTCGTACCCCCGCTGCTATGGAGATTCTAATTAAGTTACCCTCTGGAGACTTTGATTAAGCTACATTCTGTTCTACCTAGGTATGGGAAAATAAGGGGACAATTGTGATTTTTAAGAAATGTATTCATGATGTTCAATGAAATGAATCAGCTTAGAAAAATATATTGTTTAGTAAAAATAACCTTTACCTCACTAGACGCTGCTAAGGCAACCTAAAATGTAAACATGTTCCTCCCAATGCTCCCTCGCTAGTGCTTAGAGATATAAAAATAAATCAGACCCTGAGACTTCTCAGAGGGAACCTGCACATTGCTTGCGACGGTTCTTTTCTCACTCGCCGGCCTGAGACCTCTCCCCTTCCTACCCGACATCGACTGCAGCTGGTCTGCAGCAGTCTCACTATGTGCTTCAGGGGCTGGCCCTGAACCAATGGCGCTCCTCCTGCCTCAGCCTCCTGAGTGCTGGGCCTACGGGTGTGCACCACCACACTGGCTACTGGCCATTGTGTATATCTTAACACACTCACAAAACAGACAGTAAGGAGGCAAAAGGAGCTGAGGGAGATCGGCCAAGAAGCCACTGAGGCTGCTGGGGGGAGCGGGGCTGGCAAGTGAAGCAAGAGCTCAGGAGGGCCTGGCAGGTCCCGACCGCCCCACAGCACAGCAGCTCGGACTTGCTCACTCATCCCGCGGCTGCACTTTCTCTGCTTGAAGCCAAGGGCAGCGCCAAGGGGTGCCACCTCCGCCTCCCATGCCAGGTGGCGACAGGCGCAGCCTCACCTGCGATCCAGTCGTAGCCCAGGTAGGGCCGGAGGCGCCAGCTGCTCTCGGGCACTGCAGACTCCTCGCAGAAGGTCACTCGGGGCTGAGGAGGGAGGCCAAGGGGCTGGGTCTTTTCTTTTACCAAAGTACTGGGGTTTGAACCCAGGGCCTCTGCACTGAGCTCCATCCCCTACCCTTTTTATTTTGAGACAGGATCTCTCTAAGTTGCCCGGGCTGGGCTTGAACTTCCGATCCTCCTGTCTCAGCCTCCCAGAGTGCTGGAATTGCATCTGTGCACCATCACACCGGCCAAGCACATCTGGATCTGGGGCCAGGGCTGTTTGGCCCCATCTTACTTTTGGCTTTGAACAGGTCTGAGCTCTGAGCCTCAGCCTTCCCATCTGGACCACGAGCTTGGAGCTCGGTGCCTTTCTCCCAAACCCCTGTCTGAAAAGCTAACAGTAATCCCTGCTTGAACACTTGGGCTGCCCCCAACCCAATACACCACGGCTCCCAGAAGCCTCTGGGCCCACACAGGGGCTGCCCCTGGGCACATCTGTCAGACAGGGAAACCGAGGCTGGAGGAGCCGCATCCCCGGGTGCCCAGCTCTCCCAGGTTACCTTGGACGGCCTGCTCCGCCGGGCCAGCATGGACTTCGGGACCTGGGCGTCCCGAGGCCCCGGATCATCGGGCCCCGTGGATGGCTCCCACAGGTCACTGGAAGCCAGCAGGGGCACCGAGTGAGGCCTCGGAGGGCCCAGGGCCCCGGGACGCTGGCACTTGGCAGGAGGCAGAGAGGACACCCTGGAGCGGGCCCAGGCCGTGTCACAGGGGTGACCCCGATGGGTGTCCAGGGGGGCCCACGCGCACCATTGGTCCTGTGAGCAGGAGGTGCTGGGGGAGGCCGAGGACGTTTCTGGGGTCAGTGGCATCTCGGAGTCACAGCTGCTGCTGCTGGAGTCCACGCCTGACTGCAAAAGAGGTCCAGGTCACCAGCCAGGCTTAGGTCCTGAGCCACTGCGGCCTCAGTGTCCCAGCTCGGTCCCCTCCCTCCCAAGGCCTCAGTTCTGCGTCCTTGGCAGAGTGGGCACGTGAGGAAGATGCTCCCACAGCCAGGATGCTGTCCTGAGGGTTAGGCTGTCCCTTGCTCTCCCCTGGGCACACACCTTGGACACTGCCCGGGCCACCGCACACTGCACAGCAGCCTGCCCGGCCCACAGCTGCCTCAGAAGCCCCAGGTTGTGCAGCCGGAGGCGCATGAGGTCTTCAGTCTCCACCATCCTGGGCGACTCTGCCTGAGGTCAAAACAGCGTCGCACGGGGCTGAGGAGGAGGCCTGGGCGCACACCCTCCCTGGATGCCCTTAACTGTGAAGTCTCGGGCAGTTCTCCAGCCTCACTGGGCCTCAGTCCTCATCTGCTAACACGCAACAGTATGAACCTCACCAGGTTGTCTTAGGGCACATAGGGCGATGCATGGCGACAGTTACCCAGCAGATAAATGTCTAAGGGTCTCGCTCTATAGCCCAGGTTGGCCTCAGACTCACAGAGCTCCTCCTGCCTCAGCCTCCCAAGTGCTGGGATAAAGGCATGCACCACCACACCGGGATAAATGTCTCTCACTCCTAAAAGGACCAGGCTTCCTTACCTGCTCAGTCAGATTCCCCCTAAAAGCCTCGACTGGGAAATTAGGTTAATTTGCAGAAAGCAAATAGTCCAAGTCTGCAAATACGAAGCTTCACTATTTTTTTCAAACACAAACTTATCACTTGAGACTCCAACCTAAGTCAGGCTTCTGAAGGGCTTCTCCCCTTCTTCCAGTCCTCTTTCTTCCCCTCCACGATTTTGTTTTGTTTTGGTTTCTTGGTGCTTCGGATTGAACCCAGGGCCTGCAGCACGCTAATGGTGTGCTCTGCCACTAAGCTCCCTGCCCCCACGCACCGGACCTATTTCCTTTATTTTCACACATGAAGTGCGAAGCTCAGAGAAGTTAAGCAACGTGCCCTGAGTCACACAGCTACTCAGAGGCAAGGCCAAGATTGGAACCAAAATCTAGGTCGAGGGTGCAGGGTCAGAAGGACTTTTCATAGCAGGGTGGAGAGGGGACTGTTAGATAACCTCTTCCTCCTCCTCCTCCTGCCAGCCCTTCCGTCCGTCCTCAGGAGCCCGACTCTGGGACACACACGCTCCTCTGGAAGCGATTTCTGCAAACACCCGCCATCCCGCCCCGCCAGAGCCCCACACCCACACCTCACCTGGGGACACCCCAGGGCCTGCGCCGAGCTCGCAGGGTGCGGGGAAGGAGACGCGCGATCACTCGAGTCCAGGGGTGCAGACCAGAGAACGCCAGGCCCGGCCCGGGTCGCCCTTCACCTGTCCGGTGCTGCTGGGGCACGCCGCACCGAGGTCTCTGTGTCTGCCGCTCCCGGCCGCCCCCACTGGACGCTGAAAACGCGAAGAAGCGTAATGTAGGCGACATTCAAAAGAGACGCAGCAGTAACGGAGCCAGGGCAGGGGACACCGAGGCGCCCAGCGGGGGCCCCGAGCAACCGGATGTGGGACGCATGTGGTCCTCCCGCCGACCACGCCCTCGACTGGCCCCGCGCTCACCCCCTACCCTTGGCAGCTCCAGAGCCCCCCAGCCAGCCGCAGCCAACCTGCGCAGCTCCAAGTTCCGCCTCGTCCTGACTTCCCGTGCGCGGCCGGGGGAGGGGCCCCAATGGCTATTCTGATTGGTCGAAGGAGGGGTGGGACCCCCCCGACTCCCAGCCGCAGAGTTACTTACATTACTTACTTGGCGTCCCAAAGCGGCAGTTTCAATCTGTGGGCGGGGCTAATGAAGGTCTCACAGCCAATTGGTCAATTTCTGCTGCCGAGGGGGGGATTAGAGACCCGGAAGCGGGATTCCGATTGCTCAGAAGCGGGCCTACGACGCGTTAAACAGGGGAAGTCTCAGCCTCCGAAAAACGGAAGGAGGAGGTGGATGAGACAAGAACATAGATACCTGTGCTACCGCCTGTAAATTATAAACGAACTTAAAGTGCGTGGCGACTGTATGCCAGGAATTTGAGCCCAGTCTTTTCCATATGCCAGTGCATTCTGGCCTCATAAATATGCGTGGAGTTATTTTTGTCCCATTTTACAGAAAAAAATAAAACCTCATGAGACTGTGAGATGAAGGAACTTTCAAGAACAGTTTGGAATAAATATATTTCACTATAGTAACAGCATATGGGTGGATAGTCACTAAACAGATAAACAAAACCTCGGTAAATGCACTGACCCTGTTTCTGACTAGTTGGAAATGGGAGGAGGTACCACAACTGTCTTGGATCATAAAGAGGCGTTCTAGCATTTGACAATCCAACATCCATTTCTGATTTTTAAAAAATTTCCCAAAGCCAGGGACGGTGGCACATACCTGTAATTCCAGCCACAGTACTTGGGAAGCCGAGGCAAGAAGATCCCATTGGAAGCTTCCTTACCTGCTCAAATTCCCCCTAACAGCCTCAACTGGGAAATTAGCTTAGTTTAATTTGCAGAAAGCAAATAGTGCAAATCTGCAAATACAAAGCTTCACTGTTTTTTTTCAAACACAAAGCTTATCACTTGAGACTCCAAACTAAGCCAGGCTTCTGAAGGGCTTCTCCTCTCCTTCCTGTCCTCTTTCCTCCCCTCCACGCTTTTGTTTTGGTTTGGTTTCTTGGTGCTGGGGATTGAACCCAGGACCTGCAGCACGCTAATGGTGTGCAGTTTAGCAACACCTTGTCTCAAAATAAAAACTAAAAAGGGCTGGGGATATAACTCAGCTCAAGAGCACTTGCCTAACATGCAGGAAGCCCTGGATTCAATCTCATTCCACAAATATAGATAAAAACGGAAAAACTTTCAACAAACCAAAACCAGAAGGGAACTTCATTCTGATAAAAGGCATTCATGAAACACCTAAATTAGCAGCATATCCCATAATAAAAGCCTGAGCCCAGGCTTGGTGGGGCAAGCCTGTGATCCCAGCACCTGGGAGGCTGAGGCAAGAGGATCACCATGAGTTCAAGGCGAGCCTGAATTGCTTTTTTAAGATCAGGGATAGCCGGGGATGTCTACTTTCAATGCTTCAACTGGAGTCTTACCCAATGCAAAGGGAAAGAAAAAAAGAAAAGAAAAGGCATTTAGATTGGAAAGGAAAAAGAAAAACTGTCTTCATCCAGATACACTAGAAAATCCATAGAATTTACAAAAACGTTACAGTTCTAGAATTGTTTTGTTTTGGTTGTTTTTAGAATTGTTAATGAGTTTTAATAGGTTGCAGGATAGTTGGGGATTTAGCTCACTGGTTCCAGCGCCTGCCAGCAAGTGCAAGGTCTAGTTCGATCCCCAGTACCAAAAAAAAAAAAAAAAGAAAGGTTGCAAGATAAAAGCTCAGTATACAGAAATAAAATGTATTTTTTTTTTTTTTTTTTTTTTTTTGGTACCGGAGATCAAACTCGGGTCCTTGCGCTTATGTAGTATTCAGCGAAACCACTGAGTTAAATCCCTGGCCCAATAAAATGTATTTCTAATTGAAAATTTTAAAATGTCATTTAGAAAGGCATCAAGAAATATGGAAATGAAATACTTAGGGAAAAATCTCAGCTGAGTCTGAGGCAGGAGGATTGCCGTGAGTTCAAGGTCAGCCTGAGCTACATAGTGAGACCATGTCTCAAAAAAAAAAAAAACCTCACAAAAGATGCACAAAACCTACCATTAAAAATTATCAAAATTTTGAAAGAAATTGAAAGGTTTTTATTTTTGTTTTTTTGAGACAATATCTCACTGTGTAATCCAGGCTGACCTTGAAATCCTTATGTAGCCCATGTGTGGCCTCCAACTCGAGGTGATCCTGCCTCGCCCTCAGAGTGCTGGGATTACAGGTGGGCACCGCCATGCCCGGTTTATTTTCCTTGTTTTTTGTGTGAAGGTCTTACACATTGCTTGTTCAGTATACCCGAAGCTGGTTTCCCTGAATTTATTGTAGTGCCAAAGATTTCCCAGGTGTTCCCAATGTATATTAGATGTCTTTAAAAACATTCCTTTATGCTGAAAAAAAATGTGGAGGAATCTCAGAAACTCGTGATCCCCTGGCCTCTGCCTCCCAGGAGACTGGGAAGGCAGGCTGGACATGCACAGTTTAAAGGACTAAAACTCGTAACAACCCAAGCTTTTAAATGAGCAAAAGTGCTGAATAGAATCTCACCAAGGAAGAGATACAGATGCCAAACAAGCACATTAAAATGTGCTCAGCATCGCCGACTCTTCTCCTGAGGCCGGCCAGAGACACCAGACACACAGCACCTTTGCCCACTCGGGCACCTCCGGCACCAGCTTCTGTCCCATCTGCAGTGGGGAACCAGCAAAGGCACATTTAGGTCTAAGGTTACAGCACGTGGGGCTGGCGGATGTGGCTCACTGGTAGAACGCATGCTTGGCATGAGCAAGGCCCTGGGTTCCATCCCATCCTCAGCACCAAAAAACAAAATAAAAATTAGGGTGCATAAAAATAACCAAGTGTTGGTGAGGATAGGAAAAACATGCCCACAGGTGCTGTTGGCAGGAATGTAAAATGGTACGAGTACTTCTGAAAACAGTTTGATAGTGCCTTAAGAATGTAAATATTAGCCAGGCATGTTGGCACAAGCCTGTGATCCCAGCACTCAGGAGGCTGAGGCAGGAGGATTGCTGTGAGTTTGAGGCCAGCCTGGGCTACATAGTGAGTCAAAGGTGTGCCTGAATTACACAGCGAGACCTGGGCTCAAAAATCAAACTAAAACTAAACTAAAGTAAAATTGGATTGTGGTGATAGCTGCACAGGTTTTGTAAGTTTACTAAAATGGTTGAAATTACACTTAAAAACTAACTTTCCTGTGATTTTTCCCACAGTTATCTGCCCAGTATTTGATCCAGTCATTCTTACTGCTCAGCACTTGTCTGAGGCCAGACACTGTGCCCACAAACACTTACAGATGTTCACAGCAACTTCGGCGCAAATCCCAGCGCCTATCAAGAGGTGAACGGATAAACACACGGTGGTGTCTCGAATGGCCTTTGGGCCCAGGACCGGTCACCTCTGCATCCCCAGTGTGCTGCCTGGGGTGTGGCCATCAACTCCCAGCCACCCCACAGTACCCCAGGACCCGGTGAAGTGTGTTGCAGCTCACGCCACCCCTCCACTCACGCTTGCCAGGGGCACCTGGCCTGGAAGGCGCTGCACGTCTGTCCCCACATCCTCCTCTTGCTGCCTTTTCTCCTCCTCCCTCCTCTTGGCCACACCGCCGTCACTGTCCCTTGAAGAAGCAGCAGACTCCTGCCTCAAGGCCTTGGCACGCCGCCCCTGCCCAGCCAGGCGCCCTGTCCCCTTCTTGAGTCTTTCTCCAGATGTGCTTGTCTCAGCGAGGCCTACCCCAGCCACATCTCCGTGTCCTCCGCAGCCCGAATCTTCTGACCTCCTGCCTCTTTACCCGATTAATTTTGCCCACCGCCTGCCTTCCACAGTAGCAGAGCAGCCCCATGCAGGCAGGGCTTTTTATCTGCCTGCTTCACAGCTGTACCTCCCGTTCCGGGAGCTGTGCGAGGTGCATAATGGGCACCTGGCTCTTCTGCTGAATTAATGAACTTCATTTGTGCAAAAGGGGAAAAAGATCATCGGCCTGTCGAGGGCATCCAGGTTCATGCACAAAAATGTGACACTGCTGAGCCCTTGGTACAAGCTGATGGCTCTTATCTTCAACCTCAGTGTGAAACTCCAAGACAGGAGACAGGACAGTGCCCTCGAGGACAGTAACCTTGGCCAACATCTGCGACTTGGGCCCTGCTTCAGAGAAGCCCTGTGAAACAGATGTTCTCCGGGATCAGGCTTCCAGGGCCATTTGCCCACGCTCAGAACTAAGTGCTCTATTCCTGGTCACATCGTCTGTGATTCAGTGGGGACATTGCCACTGGAGGGCAAAAATCCCAGCCTCTCGGGTTCCCTGGAACTTCTGTGGGCAGAAGCAGGAGCCTGAGAAACCACAGGAACAAGTCTGGCCTCGAGCAAGAATAAATAAGTAGTGTTGGTGGGAAGCAGCAAGGCACGGAACTCCTCTTCCAGCTTTGTGCCAGCACCCAGGCCCGGCTGGCTGCCGGAGAATCCAGTGGGTCGTAAATAGCATCTTGTTAATGACAGACACTACTTGTGTGCTGCAGAGAAACGGTGAGGATTCATTTTGTTTGTTTTTGGTTTTTGAGACAGGTCTCCTTATGTAGCCTAGGCTGGCCTCGAACTCACATGGATCCTCCTGTCTCAGCCTCCTGAGTGGTGGGATCACAGGCATGTGCCACCACATCTAGCTGATTCATTTTAAACACTTTGCTTCACTTACATGTATTTGTGTGTACCGGATTACAGTTTCTAACTGTGGGTCCCAGTAAAAAGTTTGAAAGTCCCTGGATGTTAGAAGTTAAGATTGAGGCTTCAGGGCAAGTTCCATCAACCCATTCGTAGTTGTTGGGATTTGAAGGGGCCCTGACCCTCCCAAGCCTGTTTCCACAGCAGAGCTGAACACGGCGATTGCTGAGTGCAGGATACTTTCAGGTCCCTAGAACTCTGCCACTCCCTGGCATTTTAGCTGTGGGCCAATGCTAGAGGCGGTTCGTGTGGGGACTCTGCTGTCGGGATAGGAGCATCCATCCAAATTTTACAGGGCCCCGATTCCATGCCAGGCCCGGGCTGGATGCTTGGTCCTGCTCGGTCAGCCTAACACCCAAATCCCAGCCTTGGAAGAGCTCATCCCAGCAGATAGTGTTAGGCGACAGCTGGGGGGGGGGGGGCATGTGAGTATCCATAATGTGATGCATGCAGGCGACAGGGAAGGATGGGCTAGTTTCAACAGGGTCACTGGGGCCGACCTCCCACAGCAACAGTTCAGCAGCCTTTGGGGTAGATGGAGTGCCTGGGCCCCACTGGGCGGGAAGGAATGTGCTTGGCAACTTCAAGGAATGAAGAGGGCCAAGTGTGGGCCCGGCAGAGGGAGCAGGGTGAGGGGTCAGATCAGGGGCGCTGCAGGACTTGGGCCAAGACCCTGGGGGGCCACAGCAGTGCTGAGAGCAGAAGTCTCCTGAGCTGAGCTCCAGATGAGGTCACACTGGCTGGTGCCCAGTCACATGAGGAAAGAGGGGGTGGGGACAAAGGAGGCAGGGGTCAGAAAGGGGTCAGGGTCTAGGTTTCCAAGGCAGAAAGTGATGGTGGGCAGGAGGGTGGTACCCAGGCTTATGGCCTGGGGGTCTGGAAGGAAGAATGAGGCTGCTGTCAGCGGAAATGGAGCCTCTAAAATGGATGTGTGGGGAGGAAGTGGGTGCCCAAAGGGAGCCCAGGGACCCGCGTGGAGGGGAGGGAAACCCACCAATCATCCTTATGTACTCCCAAGGGGCCTTCAAAGAAAATTTTTAAAAGAATAGAGCAATAGGTCACAGCCAGATTCTCAGGCCAAGTGGGGGCAGCAGTCTGAGTCATTACTTTTCAAGTGAATGATGAATGGTTTGAAGTTACAGAGAAATCTGAGGAAATCGCTCTAGATCTCCTGGCCCTCCGTGCTCCTGAGCACACGGGTTCCCTGCAGGGGTCTGGAGGGCCCACTCGAACCCCTCAAAGTGCAGGCTCTGCCCCAGGATGCGGCAGTACCAGCCGCTGGTGGGGGATGTCACACAGGGTTCCAACTGGCTTTATTTTAGTTTCCAATGTTATCAGCAAGGGTAGAGGAGTAAATCAGGTAGGGACATCACCTTAAATACGTCAGGGAGAAACTGTCAAGCATGTCTCGTGCTCCTGCAAATGAGCATCAACACAACAGAGACAGCAGCATTAAATTAAAGTGCTTTCTGCCACACTTCTTTCAGAAAAGGTCTCTCTCTCTCAGTGGTACAAATTTAATTTTACTTGTTCTGTAAGAAGCTCAAAATTTCATTCATTCCCTAGGGGCTATGGTGAAAAAAATTCATTCCCCCCCCCCCAAAATTGGGATTGGGTGACAGATTTTTCCTGACATGCTGTGAGGTGACCCCCATCTGTCCTCCCGTTACACGATGTTGCTGGCCTAGCCGGCCACTCTGTCCCACATGGGGGAGACTGAGGGTCTGAAGGAGTGAGCACTCAAAGGCGGCCCCCGTGTGGCCACCAACCTGGTTTCCCCAGACAGGTGACAACCGGATTAAAACCCAGCAGGGCCAGCTCCCCGTGCTGAGCCCCGCCCTGGGCCTTCTTCCTGGGAGGCGGCTGCTTACTTCTACAACATTCTGCCCAGGCCCTGCTCTTCCCGGTTATCACCATGGGGACAGAAACTTCCCCCACTCTGACTAGTAACAATCCAAAAACTCAACAGGAACCAGTTCTCAAAGTCAACACAAGGCCAGATTTGTCCAGGGAGGCTCTGGGGTCCAAGAGAAAAGGGGGAAGGGGTCCACTTTCCCACCATGGCTCTGCCCGATGTGGATCGCTGGCACGGGAAGCAGTCCGAAGGCCCAGAGGCCCAGGGTGGCTTGGGGAAGTCAGGGGGCTGGGGGCTGTCAGGCCCGTGTACCCCTCACAGAGCAAGGTCAAACGGGGGCCCTGTTCCGTGCCAACTGCACTCTCTAGCCATCCTGAGTAGGGCCAATGCCCCCACCTTCCGCCTTCCTCCTTCTACATCCTTTGACCACCCAGGCCAGACCAGCCCTCTCCACTACAATGCAAGTCTGCACAGCCAGACTCAGCCTTTCTGCAGCTACTCCAGATGCTTCTGGGAAGGGAACCCAGCCACGGACAAAGTGGCTGCTCTATGGGTGTGCTGGGGTGCAAGGGGGACAGTGTGCAGGGCCAGAGGAAGGCTGCCATCAGTTGATCTGCAAGGTGGACATCGCGAAACCTTTGCAAGCAGACACATGACTTTCAGTGACTCAATGAGCAGAGCAAGGCCTGGCAGGACTCCCGGTACACTGTTGTCGGGCCGTCGCTGAAGCCTCCTCTGGGCCTGGCCAGAGGTCTTCCTGCTGGAGCAAGGGGCAGGGGGCACGAGACAGTGGGTGCTTTCATTCTTGAGGTGGGGGCCAGGGACCGGAGCTGACGCCCTGGGGGCCACACGTCACCGAGGGCAGGTGGCACTGCCCTCCTCCATGCAGGTCTGTCTGCCATCCACTATCTGCTGGGCTGCAGGTACTGGTGCGTGAACATATTGAGCTCACTGTCTAGCCAACCGGCCTTATTCCTGCAAAGACACGGTCACTTTGTACCCACAGGGGCTGCTGACGGCCACCGCTGCCGCTGGTGACAGGTGCTGCACTTAAGCCTCCACTAGCCCTATTTACCCTATTTTGGAGATGAGGAAAAGGGGGCCCAGAGAGGGGAAATAACTTGCCAAGTTCACAAGGTGATGGAGAGGACAACTGGGGATTTTTGCTTTGCTATGTTGCCCAAGCTGGCCTTGAACTCGCGATTCTCCTACCTCAGCCTCCTGTGTAGCTGGGATTAAAGGTGTGTACCCCCAGAATCGGGCTTTTCTGACCCTCAGGCCCTGTGTCTGCTTCACCAGGGACTGGGGAGAGCCCTGACTGGGGTGCGTTTTCCTGCTCATCTGTAGCCTTTCCCAGGCTCAGCCCTGTCCCCGTGGCTGACCAGCACCCGGCCCTGTCCTGGGAAGTCCCAGTGGGGAGCAGTGGGCCGATAGGAAACGGCCATCCCAGCGGTGGCCTGGGAGCAGCGCATGGCTCTGACCTGAAGGGGAAAGTCTGTGGGTCTGATGAGGGACGGGAGTGAAACCCTTCCGCCTGGCCTCCTGGGCTCTGCCACCCTGCGGGCCTCTGACGTCAGGGGTGGAGGCAGGAAGTCCAGCTCCCTGGGTGCTGATGTTATCTATCATGGGCCAAGCAGGATGAGGACTTCCACACAGCACCATCATGGAGTCCCACTCCCACCTCACAGAAGAAAACGAGACACGGGGAAGTCGAGTAGGTGCTGGACCGGCACCCAGGACTCAAGACTCCCTGATGCCCAGCAAATTGCTCCCGGAAGCTCTGCATCTCACTGAAGCCCCTGGAGGTGAGGTCCCAGTCCTGTCCCTGTGGGTGGCAGGACTCAACGCACGGAGACTCCTCCCTCGCCTGACCCTTTCCTGAGGCTCAAGCAGGGCGCTCCCCCTCTGCAGGCACAATGTTCCTGCTCGGAGAGGAGCTGCTAGCTTGCCTCCCAGGTGGTGAGGGCTGAGGGCCAAGCCTGTGTGCGCTGCGGAGCTCGGGAGAAGGTGCCTGTGAGTTGCAATCTTAGGGTTCTGTCATGCTTGCTTCTAGGGTGTCACCATGGCCCCAAATCAAGGCCAGGGGCACCATGTCTCACTGGGCTAAAGCTCTGGCACCGCCTGCCAGCCAGCAGTGCCTGGTGCACATCTAACAAAGCGCAGAGGTCTGTGCCACCCTGAGCCACCCAGCGCCCAGCCACCCTCACCTGAGCAGTTTTGCTTTGCTCTGAAGGGAATCGAGAACTTCAATTTTCTTGTTCATGGCGGCAATTTCCTGCTCCAGGTTCTCGCGGGTGACGTCCACTTGCTGGCAGAGGTGAGCAAACGTCCCAGACAGCTCCCTGGGTGGAGGAAAGTGGGGCCACCATGTACAGGGCCACTTGGCAGGATGTCACGGTGGCTGAATCCACCATAGTGGGACCCAGCCACACCCCTGCTGGTAGCTCTGCCAGTGCCAGTCCTGGCTTGGTGGGGTCTTTCCCACCACAGCAAGAAAAGCAACAGCATGGGCAGCGCAGCCCAGTTTGGGCACAAAGCCAGGATTCAGACCCTGGCACCACTACTCGTTGCCTGAGTGGCAGGGGATGAGACACGGCTCATTCTCCAAGGCTCAGTTTCATTTTGAAAAAAGGAAATGCCAAAAAAACACCTACCCAAAGATGGAGAAAGTGAAAAGCTAGGTGCCAAATGGCTGGCAAAAGTCTGCCACACAGCAATAAAGCAGCGCTTCCAACCCTATACCCACAGCAGGCAACAGGTCCCCTCCTAGCCTGCAAGGTGGCACAAATGGGCTAAGACCCAGGGTATCAAAGGCCACACACAGTGCATGCAACCTTCAATGGTCTAGCAGGCACATCCCTGTCTCCAGGGCCCGGCCACCACCCAGGACACAAGGTGTCCAATGCTGGCATCCCACAAAGGCCCAGGGTTCAGGATGCTCCAGGCCAGACTGGGAGGGAGACGGGTCTGACCCACCCAGAGGGGAGACCCCCAGCCCAGGCCCAGTGGCCTGCTCACTGCTGGACTTGGTGGCTGCAGTTGGAGCCCGTGTAGCTGATGATGAGCTGCAGTTTCTCGCTGGCATACTCCACAAACTGCCTCTTGAAGGCCCTCTCCTTGGCCTTGGTGGTCCAGGTCAGGCGCTCGTAGACGTAGAGGAGGCCATAGAGCCCGAAGGAGAGGGCGATGAGCCGCCAGCCCACCGCCTTCCACACCTACAGAGGTGCATGGTCAGTGGGTAGCACCTCTCTGGGGGCCCACCTGCAGCCTCATGGCTCTGTCACTCCCAGGACAGGCAGGAGTCCTACCCCAGGAGCCTGGTGTTCCACTAAGGGCCCCTTCAGTGTCTCCTTTGACCTCACTGAGGCCAGGGGCAGGGCCTCTCTCTAACTGGAAATGTGAAACAGAGCTGGCCGTAGGATATGACTTATGCACAGTGTAGGGGCGAGGACCAGGGGCCAGACCTAAGAAAGCAGACTGGGGGGAGGGGTGGTAGTAGGGATTGAAGCCAGGGCCTTCACACTAAGTTAAATCCCAAGCCCATTTTAAAATTTTGAGACAGGGTCTCACTAAGTGGCTAAGTTGCCCAGGGTGGGCCTGAACTTGCGATCCTCCTGCCTCAGCCTCCCAGAGTGCTGGGATCACAGGCATGCGCCATCATGCTCAGCTAAGCACAGTTCTTTATTTTTTTTAGTGCTGAGGATCCAATCCAAGGCCTCCCACATGCTAGGCAAGGGATCTAACACTGCCCCCCCCACTCAACACCCCAGTAAACAGAACTCTTGAAGCTGGCACATTCTGAAGCAACACCTGCTAACGACTGACTGGCAGAGTTCTGAACATCACTGCTCAGCAGATGGCTCCTTCTGTTCTGCATAACGGTCTAGCTGAAGGCAGCACAGTTATAGCCAAAGAGCAGGGCTCAGAGCCAGACAGCAAGGCTCTCACACTGCCCACTGTGCTGCCCGTGTGACACTGGCCAGTGTCTTTACACAGGTTTCCTCATTTACAAAAGAGGCCCAGGGTAGCCAGGTGTGGTGGTGCACACCTATAATCCCAGCTACTCAAGAGGCTGAGGCAGGAGGAGTGCACGCTCAAGACCAGCCTGGGCAATTGGTTTAGTGAGACCCTGTCTCAAACAGGACTGAGGTAGTAGCTTGGAGGTAAATCGCGAGCCTAGCATGAGCGAGGCCTGAGGTTCGATCCATAGCACCCCCTAAAAAAAGTCGGGGTCCAGGCCACAGAGCTCCCCAAGATAGAAAACACTCACCCCACTGAAGTGCTGGGCCAAGGCAGGGACCCCCAGCACTGAGCCCTCAGGCCCCTCCCACCACCCCGCTCGCAAACAGGACTCATCACTGACCACGCCGCCAACCACGAGGATGCCCATGGAGGTCCTGGAGGTCAGAGAGGCCAGGCCGGTGACCATGGAGACCATGAGCTCCTCCTGGGTGAGTGAGCCCTGCGGCAGGGGCGGCATGCTGGGGTTGGCAGGCGTCAGCGGAACAGGACGAGGTACCTGTGGAGAGGCGACGGAGGGGTGAGAAGAAGGTGGCACGTCTCTCGATGAAGCAAACCCTCAGGGATCCCTGGGGCAGCTGGGACAGGGACAGAGACACGGAGCAGCTCTTCAATCTCCCAAGAGCAAAAAGAGCGACAACAAGCTTTGCGTGCAGCACCTCCTCTACTGTGTATAAAACAAACTCAAGTCCAGGCTGACCTGTGGCAGCAATGCTGACCGTGCTGTACTGTGGGGTGCAAAGGCGCGGCTGTCGCCTTAGGGAACCCACTGCAGAACGCGCGCGTGTGTCTGGTGGCGGGGTACAGACTGACCTCCCATGATGCCCTGGGGAGGAACTGTGCTTGCCTGGTCATTGTAGCCCATCAAGGCCCGACGGCTGTTCTTAGGGCCCAGGAACCTATTCACCAGCATGGTCCATCCAAGAGAAAAATGGAACTCAATGTCCTCCTGAAAGTCAGCACACAGCTTGTCACAGTTGAGGTCGTAGCTGAGGGAGAAGCACTGGCGAGGGACCAGCATGTCTATCTGATTCCGCACAGACACAGGAAGGAGGGGCTTCAAGCCATCTGTCAGGGACACAAAGCAGGAGAAAGCATGAGTGGGGGCCTGTGCCCCACCAGTGCCAAGCCTCAGGACAAGGGCCATGCCGGCTGCAGTCAAGGATGCCGAAGCTTTGCCCGGAAACTACCCTGTGGGCAGCTCTGGCTGTGGCAGGTGAGCTAGCGCTCCTCAAGGGGACACCAGTGAGCCTGAGAGTCCAGACTGCTGACCCCTAGCCTTGTGTGGGTTACAGAACCAGGCCAGATTCTCAGGGTGTAACAGTCCTGTGTGGTAACCCAGGACGGGATCCCCAAGTCTACGTACAGAATGGACTCACACACACACACCAGGACCCGAGGTACTAGGCCAAGTCACAGTCAGAGGGGACAGATAGGGAAAGGTCATTATTTCTCTAGAGTGGCTCTGACTCTGACCTTCAGGCAGCCCGGGGTCCTGGGGCCCCAGGACCCAAGTCCCGTGTGGCACTCACCGATCATGTCCTGCTGCATGGTCTGCAGGGAGTTGGCAATGGCCGTGGAGCAGCGGTCAGACATGTTTCTGCCCAGCCCTTCCTCTATGTGGCGGTGCAGTTCCTGCAACCAGGAGAGGGAGGTAAGAGAAGCAGCGGCCACCCGGGGTGCTCGGGCCCACTGAGTGACCAAGAAGGCTCATGTCCAGGCTTCCACTCCACCGAGGAGGCGGCCCGGCCCAGAGCAGCCGGGGCTGAACCGCTGTCTGGTGGTGACTCCATCGACAGCCACAGAGAGCAAAGTGGGCCCTGCCAAGAGCACATGCTGCCTGGGAACTCACATTCTTGTAGACCTTGAGGACGACCGGAGAAGGGTGGAAATCCAACTGGTACTCGTCGACCAGCACAGAGAGGCGCCTGATCTCCTCAGCCATCGCAGTCGACACCTACAGCCGAGGGATGCATGCTGTTAACACCGGGAGGCACGGGGCCAAGCCTGTGGCACGAGGCCGGACAGACTGTACCCTGAGACGGTGGGCGACCTGTGCTCGGCTGACACGCAGAGGGGCCTTGCCCAGCATCACACAGTGGGAGCCCAAGGGGAAGCTCCGTATGCTTGAATCAGGGCCACAACTTCTTCCTGGAGGCTGAGGAGGCCCTGGAGGAGAGGCGTCTGCCCTGTCCCTTTTCCAGCACCCTGGACTCCACATCTTCCCAGAGTCCTTCCTCCTGGCCTCTCACCTGCCTTTCTACTTCCTCCGTGATCTGCTTAATCCGCAGTTTGTAGTCCTGAGCCAAGAGCTCCAGCTGTTTGTCAATAAACCGCAGCCGGTCCTGCCGCTCTTCGCGCATCTCCAGGCAGTAGACCCTGCGAGCGGGAGGGCTGGTCAGGAGAGCACAGTCCCACCCATGTGCGCAGGTGGGGGGACACGGGGAGCCTGCGTGGCCACCCCGCTATCCTGCTGGGCAGGTTCACACAGGCACCCAGGGGACCCCCGTCCCTCCGCAGGCTGTGGCTGACAACCACTCACTCCTCGGTCTCCCGCTCTAGAGGGGAGGTGCTTGGGGGGGCTTAGAAAAAGTTCTGCCAACTGACAGGGGAGAAAGCAAGCTCAGGCTCACCAGGGCCCCGGGAGATGACATGAAAAAGAGCCACTCCTTTGTCCCCAGGGGCCTGGGAAGGGCCAGGTCTGAAGCTGTGGCGAGCACTGTGGCAACGGGAGTTCCCACAGGCAGTGCTGGGGGCTGTGTGGGGTAAGCTGCTCTGGAGAGCCACGAGCAAAGCTGAGCAAAACCGAAAACACATCTACCCTGAGGCGCAGCAGTGGAACCTCTAGGAATTAGTTCTGAAAGACTTACAGAGGTGCGCGAGGAGCCACAAGCAGTGCCACTGCCAGAGGGCAACAGTGCGAGAAAAGCCAAGACGGAAAATCAGCTGGTAGGAAAATGGGCTCTCGTCACCATGGAATCCTCTCCAGCGGTAGATACACGACAGGGGCCCGGTCAGCAAGGCTGGGAGACGATGTTAACAAGAGGCGGGCGGGGCGCGGGGCCCATGCAGGAGGGCACCATGCCCAACAACTGCACACAGGGCCATTATGTGCGCACCAGGGCTTCTGTAAAAAGCGCTTCATAAATGGGTCCCTGGACTACACAAAGTCATGGTCACAGGCTCTGAGGAGTGACAGGGTCAAAGAATCAAAGGGTACCTAACACCTCTTTTGGTTGTATTTTAACTTAATATAAAGCAAACGCTGCCAATTCTGGGTGGCAGAAGCAAGGTTCTTTTTAATATTACTTGCTGTACTTTTCTATATTTAAAATTTCTCCAAAAGGAAAGAAAAAAAAAAAAAGAGCGCAGGCTCTGCAGGTGGCTGGGTGGGCAGGGTGGGGCCCATGCTGCACAGGAGGGTGGGTGACCCACTCCCGCCCTGGCGCCCCTGCTGTCCAGCAGTCTGTCTGGCTCTGAACCCAGAGACTCAGACGGCCCAGGCAGAGCGGCAGTGTCCAGTCAGCACCCTCCCACCCTCCTACCGCTGCTCCTGGGCCGAGATGTGCAGGGAGTCCATGATGAAGCGAACGGCCTCCACGATCTGCTTGGCCCGGACTGTGTGCTGCTCGAATTTGGTTTTCACTGCGGACTGGGAGATGCACTCCTGGAACACACAGGGGTGCTGACGGAGGCACCAAGGGCCAGGCTCGGGCTTTCCCTGCTGGGTACCCGGCCAGTGAGAGCTCAGCAGGGCAGGATCGCAGGATGCACTGGGACCAAAGGACTTACCTCAAATCTCCTCTCGAAATTCTGAAACTCAAACATCCTCACTTGAAAGCCTTCTGCAAGAGCGCCACCTAGGAGAATTGCACTGCATTAGCTCAGACACAGCTGCTGTCAGAAGAAAATGGGGAGCTCCCCAGCCATGCCCAATGGGCATGAGGAGGAGCTGATGGACAGCTCTCACCCCAGAACTTTCTCACTGCCTCTCGCCAAAACCATCTCCACTGAGTGACACAGTGCATGACCTGACACCTTGAACCCAGGAGAGGAGGACCTCTGTTCCCATGGTTACCTCCTTCCGGCATGCCCTGGGCTTTCTGGATCCTGGCATTGAGCACCTCCTTGGCAGACACAAAGAAGATTCGGTCCCCGGCCTGGGCTCGATCCACCACGTCCAGCTCATCAACCAGGAAGCTGGTGCAACGCTCCATGTGCTGCCGCCGCACCTGGAACCCATGCAGATGGGAGGCTGTGACCAGGCTGGGGAGCTGCCCACAGCCCCCAAAAGCCTTTTTTCCCCTTAATGGGTCATCTATGCAACATGAGTCGACATTCAAAAGTGAAAGGTCACCGGCCACCTCTGGTCTCTAGCCACCATGCTTCCCAGAACTTCCATCATGGGGATTTCTTGGGGGCTCGGCCCAAAGATGGCTCATGCATACAAAAGCAGAAAAGCTCACACAGGGGCCAGCCAGCCTCCTTAGGGCACACTGCAGAGCCCCAGAAGGACAGGAACTGCAGGGTTAAGAATCCTAAGCCTGGACTCTATTCTCACAAGCCCAGTCGTCCCAGGGCCTCATTTATAAAATGCATGTGCACCATTAGAAGCCCCTCCCGGCTCTACTGCTAGGACTGGGACAGACAACAGCCTCCTATAGACACCCACCCCGTCATCCTCTCAGCAAATCTACGAACTGAACCGGTCCCTCCGAGAGGACACTAAGTTATAAGACAGCTGAAAGAATCTGCCGCAGTCACACGGCCCAGAGTCAGCCAGGTCTGGAGTCTGGCCTGCCAATTGCAGACTTGATAAAATGAACCCAACACTGCCAATGTGTTACTCCTCTCTCACTTCACACACATCGAGAGTTGAGTTGTCACTGAGAACCAATTATTCTGCACTTTGTCTTTCAAGCTTCTTTCTCAGTTATCTTCCTAGAGCTTAGTCTGTTCTCTGTTTATTTGTTATCTATAAACCAAAATGAGCAAGGATGACCCCAAACAAAGACACACAAATGTGGTGGGGTGCCGGGAAAGGGAAGGGCCGAGGAGAAGGAGTGCTTTTAAAGCCATCATAAGACACCACAGGGAACACCTGGCAATCTTTGGCAATGACACTAACTCAGGGAAGCCACCAGATCTGATGCCTCCAGGGAGAGCGCAACACAGCTTTGGGTGTGCACAAGACATGGCAGCCCCCAAATGTCAAAAAGAGGGCCTACCTCCTCCATGTACTCAGGCTCCGAGGCGGACGCATCCCACCGGTTGTTCAGGATAAAGATGTTTGGGCGGGAGAGCCGCTCGCTCACCTTGTGGAAGAATTGCTTCTCCTAGACAGGGGGACAAAGCCTCAGGAGGAGGGGTTGTGGCAGCCAGGGCACCACCAGCCACCTGCGAAGCCAGGTCCCGGGAAAATACAGGGAAGGAGGTACCGTCTGCATCAGGGTGGACTCTGAGTTGGCCACCAGCACAAACACATCAGCGTCCAGGCAGAACTTGTCAATCCAGCTGTCCAGCTCGGTGGTGACGTCAATCCCAGGGCTGGAGGTGACAGGGGCAAACCAGCGTGGTTGGGCAGAGACCACAAGCCCTGTTCTTACAGTAATGAACAGACCTGGGGCTTGTGAGGCAGCCAAGCCATGAGGCGGGGAATTGGGCCTGCCCCTCGTGCGGGCAATTTTACTTCCCACGTCACATCCTTCTAGAGCACCTGGAAATGTGTAGCTCTTAGCACACACATGCACCACTTTCATAAAAATGTAACGACTGGTACTTTCACTTTAGGCCTAAATAAATAAATAAAGTCTGAATTTATTTATTCTTTTGAGACAGGATCTCACTACGCAGCCCAGGCTGGCCTGGAACTCGTGCTGATCCTCCTGCTTCTGGCTCCCAAGTGCTGGGATTGCAGGCGTGTGTCACCACAAGGCCTGGCCCTACAGTCTGAATTTATGTGAGTCCAGTAAACGCGACAGTAGTGTATCTCTTGGTATAATTGTAACCTGTCCACAAAACAGGCGGCAAAGTGTTCCTTTAAGAGGAATAACACAGCTGGGCGTGGTGGTACATGCTGCTCAGGAGGCTGAGGCAGGGGGACAGTAGGTGTGAGGCCAGCCCGGGCAACTTAGAAGACTCAGTCTGAAAAAAAATGTTTTTCAGTCTCAACTGTTTTGGTACCGAGGACAGAACTCGGGACCTTGCGCTTGTGCGGCAGGCTCCGTTCAGTCTCAAATTTTAAAAAGAAAGGACTGGGACTGCAGCTCCCTGGTGCAGTGCTTGCCTTGCATGTATGAGCCTGGGCTCCATGCCCAGTACTGCCTCCCCCCGCAAACAACGGGGATAAAATACGGCACGCCCTCCCGTAACACACGTCCCAGGGCAGGGGAACGAGAGGCTCCCCTATCTCCCCAACAGCCCAGCCCTGAAACATCTGCAGGGCACTGATGCCAGTGGCTCCAACAGCCAGATCTTGGAGGAAACTCAAGAGGAGGAGGACTTAGTTGAGCCGTCTGAAAGGTGGCAACATGTAAGCCGAGCACGAGGCTGGGCACAGCTTCCAGGCACAGCACTCGCCTAGGTGTGCAAAGCCCTGAGTTCCAGCCCCAGCACCACGAAAAGAAAAAAAGAACAAAAAGGCAGAGCAGGGCGGGGTCATCCAGATGCAGGTGGAGACCTGGCACTGCCTGGCAGGACTCCTAGGGAGGCACCCTCACCTGTCCATCAGCACCAGGTCGTCCTTCAGCAGCGGGCACTTGGAGTTGGGCCACATCACGCTCACCAGGCTGCCGGCGTGTAGCTGCTCGTCCTGGTGCAGGGCATGGGCCAGCTGATTCACAGTCTGCCGGGCAGGGGAGAGAGAAAGGTCAGGCCAAGGGCACCACCCAGCCAGATCCCAGGATGCCGGCCACGAGTGGCAGCTGGGTGCGGCCGCCTGACCTCCTGCCCCTTTTCTTTCACCTCACACATCAAGTTAAGGGCTGGGAGCTGTCGATAGGAACCAACTTTCTAGCTGGGCATGCTGGTGCATCCCTATAATCCTAGCACCCTGGGAGGCCGAGGCAGGAGAATCACAAGTTCCAGCCTAGACTGGGCAACTCAGTGACTAAGCAGGACCCTATCTCAAAAAATTTTTAAAAAAGAAGGGCTGGAAATATAGCTCACTCCAAGGACCTTGTGTTCAATTCTCAGTACTGCTTAAAAAAAAAAAACCAAACCAACTTTGTTCTCTTCCTCTTTAAGGCTCTTTTCTAGACATTATCCTAAAGCTGAAATTGCTCTGCATTAATTCTTTTCTTTTTTTTCCTTTGAGACAGGGTCTTGCTATGTAGTCCAGGCTGGTCTTGAACCCACTATGGAGCCCAGGCTGGCTTTGAACTTGCAGTGATCCTCCTGCCTCAGCCTCCCAGGTGCTGGGATTACAGGTGTGCGGCACCAGGGCTGGCATTAATTCCTTATGGGTCTAGAGAAGCACCAGGCCCCAAGCTAGAAGGCAGCTGCCTCTCAGAGAAATGAAAGCGTGTGTGGCGGGTCCCAGCTGGTGTGCAGGAATCCCAGGGCGCGCAGGACCCTCGGCTGTGACTAAGGAGGATCGGCGCTCCTTACTCCAAGCACGTCATGGGCCCGCTCAGCCCTCATGAGGACCACCGTGCCTCGTTCTTGGCTCCCCCACTCCCCAAACACTCACATCCTCAAAAGAGCTCATCCGCAACAGGGCCTCCCGCCTTCCACCGCAGGGGAGGTGGGGTCATCCTGCCACGTGGCCTCGCTCTGGCCCAGTCCAGACTCAGCCCGCAGGCGCCCACCTTGACGCTCCTCTTCTCCTCCGAGCCCTCGGTGAGCAGGAAGGCCTCGTGACCGTCAGTGCCCTCCACCCGCAGGAAGCAATTGGTGGTGTGGCCAATCCCGGAGGGCAGAACCTTGTCCCACAGCATGGCATTGATCACAGTGCTCTTCCCATTGCTTGTCCTGGGAGGAAAGAAGGCCATCAGCAAAGCCACCGGCAACCAGTGTCGGCTGTCACTGGCATCCCCAGTCGCATCCTCGGCAGTGTCACTGGCGGCCAGACAGCGCCCAGAGCAGGCGCTCCGCGTTCACTAAAATGTGCAGGCAATGTCCCCCGGCCTGAGCTGTGGCACGACCTGGGCCACCATTTCACAGCCATCTATGAGGGGCTCCTGCAGTACATGGCACCTATGACCTGGCCCTGAGCACCCCGCTGCCTCTCGGCATCAGCAGCACCAACGGGGAGCCTGTGCCCCGCCAAGCACAGCCCACTCCGGGCCAAACCACTGAGCGGAGGGTCACACCAAGACTGTCACAGGGCATCGGGACAGCACTCGAGCCATGGTGCCTATTCCCCCAGAGACTGCCATGTGCCTGGCACCCCACCTGGCTAGGGGCTTTTTCCTGCATCCAATTAATTTCTAGGTGTCTATGAAAGTCAAGTAAAACAATCCAAATTATTTTGGTACTGGGGATTGAACTAAGGACCTTGCACTTGCAAGGCATGTGTGGTGCCAACTGAGCTAAATCCCTGGCCCCAAAAGTTAATTAAAATAGAAAACTCTAACAAGAAAATAGAGGGAAAGCTTCAAAACATTAGGGAAATGCAAACCAAACTCTCAGTGGGAACCAAGGGCATTAGCCTGCACCTGTACTCCCTGCAGTCAGGAGGCTGAGGCAGGAGAATCACATGAATCCAGGCGTTTGAGACCAGGCTGGGCAACATAGAAAGACCCCATCTCAGAAACAAAACAAACACAAAACCCAGAAGAACTCACAATAGGGTACCACTTCACATCCAGTAAGCACAGCCACTATCAAAAGCCAGAAAACAATGAGCAACGGAAGGATGTGGAGAAACAGAAGCCTGTGCCGGGGGCTGTGCAGTGGGAAACAGTGCAACGTTCCCGAAATATTGAGCATGGAAGGGTTATGCGACCCCCGACTGTGTCTGTGTGTACGCCCAAGAGAACTGAAGCAAGGACCGCAGGACAGAGCTGCACCCCACACCCACAGCGGCAGTGTTGGCTGCAGCCGAAAGGTGGGAGCAACCCAGTGCCCAGAGGGATGAGCGGTTGCATGTGGTCTGCACGTACCCCAGAAAAGTGTTCAGCCTTAAAAAGGTGAGGTCAGGTTTTTGGCTTGTTTCTGCATTACTGGGGATGGAACCCGGGGGCTTTCCACTGAGCTACATCCAGCCCTTGACTGTTTATTTTTGAAACAGGGTCTTGCCATGTTGCTAAGTTGTCCGGGCTGGGCTTGAACTTGTGATCCTCCTGCCTCAGCCTCCCAGAGTTCTGGGATGAGAGGCTCATGCTACTGGGCCCAGCTCAACCTTAAATTCTGACACATGCTACAGCATGAATGAACTTTGAAGATACTACTCTGTGAGAAGAGCCAGTCACCAAAAGATTAATACTGTATGTCTCCACTTACATAAGATACCTATTCTACAGCACTCAAATCCCTAATGACAGGGCCAGGGATGTGACTCTTTGGCACTGCACCTGCCTGGTAAGTGAAAGGTCCTGAGTTCGATCCCAGGTACCGCCAAAAAAAAAAAAAAAAATCTCTAATCACCAAATCCCTAAAGACAGAAAGCAGAATGCAGGTGGCAGCACAGATGTAACAGGGAGTTACTACAGGGTGGGGACAATTTCAGTTATGCTAGATAGAAAGTTCTGAAGACTGGCTGTACAGCAAAGTGAATACACTCATACTGAACCATGTACCGGACTCCAAAACAGTTTATTTGGGCAGCTGGGGTATGGCCGGGTGATGGAGCACAGCTTAGCATGTGCGAGGAAGGCCCTGGATTTCATTTCCACCACCACCACCACCAAAAAGGTTAACTTTATGTTACATACTCTTTACAAATATAAGAAAGAGCTCGAGAAACTCTGGCGCCCCCGCTGGCCCCTGCCTCAGGGGGCTGGCTGTGCCCTGCACAAGGGCCTCCCCACTCCTGCCCCGCCCAGCCCAGCCAGAAGGAAGAAGCTGCAGGCTTCCAGACTCACCGGCCGAAAAAGGCCACCTTCATGTGCCGCCGGGCCAGCACCTCGCTGATGCCCCTCACTTTGGACAGGTAGCCTTTGACATCCAGAACCTGCTCTTCCGTCGTGACAGGGTCCAGCTCAGCATTCCTGTAGGTGTCTGGAGGAGGAGATGACAGAGGCCATCATATGGTAGGAGTTCTGTGACCACAGCCCGGAAGGACCAAGTGCTGCCCCTGCTGACCAGAACCTCCACGAGGCCACTTCCCTGCTGCGGCTCTGCAGTGTGGCGGCCAGGACAGGACTGGGAGCAGGACCGCCTGGGTCCCGAGCTGGTTCTCACAGCTGCCCAGCTGTGACCTCAGGCACATGAGCCTCGCCCATCAGATGGAGGCAGCGGCGCTCTCTCCGCTGTGTCACTGTGCGCGGGTGCCGAGAATGGGGACTGCCGTGAGCGCCTGCGTGCTGCTGGCTCCCAGGTATTTCGTCCCAACAGAGGCTTACAGAGCTCTCACCAAAGGCCAGGCACTGTGCCAGGCACTTTTCACACCTGGCCTCATTTCAGCCTTGCTACTTCCTCTGCCCAGGGTCGTCAGCAGCAGGGCCAGGGTCTGAACAGGCACCCTGGCTCCAGAGTCCGTGCCTTTAAGCCCTCCGTGTCGATTCACCAGGTCCTTCCTGACCTGGCCTCGCTGCCCTCTCCCCAACTCATCACCTCCGAGAACTCCCGGCCCTCGCCCCGGCGCCCCCCGCCCACATTCTGCAGACAGATGATGCTCCCTCCATCTTGGGGGCCTGGGAGCCATGGCCCAGGCCCACCCCACCTCGGGTCTCAGGAGCCTTCCCGATCACACCCCCAGGGCTCCCGTTACCACCCCTCAGAGCAGGCCCAGGTGGGAAACTGCCCTCCCCGACCAGAGCAACCCAGCTGCAGCCCAGGGTCCCTCCCCTCCTTCCCTCCCTGGGACCAAGAGGTGAGGCCACACATTTTCACAGAGTTCAAAGCACTCATCACATAAACACCTCCAGCAGCAGGTGCTGGCCCACAGCCTCACGCCAGTGAGGGACTCAGAGGTCACAGGGTCACTCTGGGCTCTGGGAGGACTCAGCCTCGTCATTACCTCTGCAAGCCCACGCTTGGCACGAAGCCCGGCAGAGCAGGGCGCCTGCTGAATAAGGAGGTAATGCTGAGGAAGGCAGAGGCAATGCGAGACTGAATGCTAAGCTACAAAAACCAGACAAAGGAGGTTTAACAGTGCGTGGCTTCTCTTATACAAGAAACCCAAAGAATAAATCATTTAAGGAGCGAAATAAAACATGTTAGGAAACAGGGAGACAGAGCCAGGAGTGGCAGCGCGCGCCTGTAATCCCAGCACTTGGGAGGATGAGGCAGGAGGATCGCTGTGAGTCCGAGGCCAGCCTGGGCTACACAGAGAGTTCAGGGCCACCCTGAACTACAAAGGGAGACCCTGCCTCAAAAAAACCAAAACCAAACAAACAAAAACAACAACAACAACAAACCAGGGAGACAGACTGTGGAGATGGGAAGGGGATCTGGGGGTGGAGATGGCAGGGAAGGGAGGTGAAGGGGGGCTAAAGAGGACCAAGAAGTGATATGTACAAGAATCAATTCTCACGACAACAGTATTTACTGTGTGGCAAACATACACTAATAAACAAAGAGGTAACGAACTGGAATCATTTCAACCTCCAATCCTATACTTTTAAATTTCAGGTTTTTAAACGCTTTGTTTATTTACTTAATTGCTGGGGATCAAACCCAGGGCCTCAGGTATACTAGGCAAGGCCTCTCCCACTGGGCTAACACCCCCAACCCTATTTTTTAATTTAAAGAGTATTTAGAGGACACTTCCTCTCGCATCAGCTACCACACAAAGGGCCGGGCACAGACAGGTTAATGAAGCTGGGCCCAGACCCCTTCTTTCCTAGGTGCCTCACCCGGCAGCACCACAAGAAAGGCAACTCGAGGCCCAGGGGCACCACCAGACAGCAGCCTGGGGAGAAGGCGGCTCATGCGAGCCAGGGCCGCCCCTGGGGCATCTCCAGTGATTTCTCGGTTCCATATATGAGAATCTGAAAATGCCTGGTCTCACCTGAGCCCCATTTCACATAAGAGAAAATCAAGGGCAGCTGAAAAGCCAGCTGCCAGGGCTCACAGCCAATCCCTGGCCTGGACCCAAGGTGCCTTCCAGAGACGGCCAGCAGCTGGAGCTGGTGTTGGATGGGGGGAGCTCTGGGAGCCAGCCCGTCCCTGCTGGTGGAGCAGAGACTACAGGCAGGCCTCAAATCAGTAACGAGTAGAAAAGGCAAAGGTGACAGGAATGCCTACTCACAGTGCTGTCGCCAATCTAAAAATACCACAGGGAGGGCACCCTGTCCAGGACAACCAACACCTCACAGCGCTTGGCACTGTGGCAGCCAGAATTGGGCCAGGGAGAACATGTGGGCAGTGAGATTGCAGACAAGCACTAGGTCACTCATACGGTAGGGGACAACTCGCAAACCTTGATCCGTTTGTCTTTTTTTTTTTTGGTACCGGGGGGATCAAACTCAGGACCTTGCGCTTTAGAGGCAGGCAGCACCACCACTGAGCTAAACCCCCAGCCCAGTCTGTCTTTTAGATGGGGATAGCATTCACCTAATGCTCATGACAGGGAAAACAAGTTCATTGAATTCTTAATTCTTAAATGCTATTTCCTGGGTCTTCCTGGCCTAAGCTTCCTAGAACCTAGAGCAAGGCTGTACCTCCCTTCTCCCAAATCCTGCTGCCCAAGTATCTCAATGGATCAAAGGGGACCCGGCTGAGCAGGCACTCGCCTCACCTTCAAGGAAAGTGGCGCTCTCCTGGATGTAGGCCCCCAGCTGCTCAAAGATGCCATTGATCTTCTTCTTGGCAGTAACGAAGTGCTTCAGAGGGGATGCATTCACTTCAGCCATGTGTCTCTTATCCTTCTTGATTGTGACAATGGGGTTGCATCGAGAGAAGAGCAGGGACATCGCGCTGCAGAAGGAGACAATGTGAGCATGCTCCGGAACGCCCACCTGGGGCCCTGTGCTGGGGCATGGCAGGGCGTGGACAGAGAACTGGGACCAGCTCTGGGCTCCATCAAGAACATGGAACCCGCCGGGACCCGCTCCAGGGGTGGCAAGGTAAGAACCAGCTGAGGAGGGTAGGAAGGGAGATCTCAGGACACTTGGGCCACCGTTCCTGCCACACTGCATGGGTACCAGACACCCGAACAGTGACAGACCAGGAGAGACAGGGAGGAATTGCGGGGTCACACAGAGAAGACGTCCTCCGAGTCTAAGAAGCATGGCAGAAATCTGACTTCTCTCCCATCTGAGCACCACAGAGAGAACAAGGTGAGGCCCAAGGTCAGTGATGCCCACCACACTTCCCTGGGCACCCCGGGGCCCAAGAGCCCAGTGGCACTCACTCCTAACACAGCTTGTGTGTTTGCTTAGGGGCAGAGACAGAAAGAGAGCTACTGCTAAAACTTCCTTGAAAAAACATTTATTGGTCTCTTAGTATAACCTGGGCATTATAGAAAATTAGGAAACTAAAGGAAAAAAAACCCTAAGTCTACCACTCTGTGATAAGCACTGCTAAAATATTATTAACACTTGTCTTTTTCAAAGGTCAAAAGAGGCAGACAATCAGTGAAGGCAGATCCAGGTGTGTCTGGGAAACCCTGCCCCAAAATGGAGCCTGCCAGGTTCTCCTCAGAGTTCCTACCACAGAGGGAGCTCCTTCCCCAGCAGAGCCCTCAGATCCAGGGCAGCAGACAGCAAAAGGCCCCTGCTAAGCACCAGGGGAAGTGCGTGAAGCTGTGTGCCTGGCTCTGTCACTCCCTCCCTGGGCAGCCCCCGAATCTCAGCAGGGAAAGGGGAAAGAAGTGTTGCTCACCAGCGAGCACACAAGAGAAACTTCTAAATGGTAGCAGATGGTGCTGAGCAAGGTCCTGAGAAGCAGAAAGGCCATCCAGAGAAAGTGCATGAAGCCTGAACACCAAAAGTGGCTTTTAGAGAATTAAAAGAATCATACCACAGCGATATTTTTTTAAATTTATTTTGTTTGTTGTTGTTTTCTTTCTTTTTTGCTTTTTGTGTTTCTGTGAAGGAACCAAGATGTGTTTTCTTAACTAAGACAACAGGGCCCTGAGAAAGAGAACTGGAAATAAACTGACTCTGGCTCCTCCACAGCAGAAAAGGAGAGTGCACTGAAGTCAGGGAGGTGCTGGGTTGGGGCAGTGGCACAGCGCTTGCCTAGCACACACAAGGCCCTGGGTTTGATCCCAGCACTGAGTAGGAAAAAGGCCACAAAGAAAAGGGGTCTGGGATGGGACATGATGGAGGGTTGCACACGACAGATTTTGGAATCAGCCCTAGTAGGGTATAAATTGTGACTGTAGCCAGGCGGGGTGGCGAATGCCTGTAATCCCAGCACTCAGGAGGCTGAAGCAGGAGGTTCACTGGGAGTTCCAGGCCAATCTGGGCTACAGAGCAAGTTCAAGGCCAGCCTGAACTACAAAGCGAGACCCTATGACTGTACTCTTCCTGGGCTACATAACTTAAGCAAGTTATTTCATCTCAGAACCTTGATTTCTTTATGTGTACCACAAGTACAACACCATGTAAACTGTGAGAAGACTAAGGATGATTATGCAAGCTATTGCTTAGCATGAGCGCACACACAGGCACACACACAATAAGGAATCAAAGGTAGTTCTACATGGTTCAAAACAACAACAATAAACCACCAGCAAGGTCACATGGTTCTCCCCACAAGCCCCCAGCTTGCAGGGAAAGTAACTCTACCAATGACCCACTGCGGCCACCGCTGCCTTGGAGACTGAGTAAACAGCCTGCTGGGAAGATCAGCTGTGCCCAGCCCCAGTAGTGACTTGCATGCAGGAGGCAAGTTCCCGATAGCAACCAGGCTTTCAGAAGCAGGTGCTTTTTAAGTTCTAGTCACTGTGCAAGCCCAAAGGACATGAAACTAAAAGCATTAGTGTGCAGTAAGGGCAAGATTCAAGGGAATGTGTATCAGCAGAAGCTTAGTCATTCAAGGTTAAAGTCTGTGGGGAGTTCAGCTGTCTAGGAAATGCCCCATGCTCACCATTACAAAGCCTGCAGCTGCAAGCACCAAACGCCTTGTGAAACCCACCAGCGACTCCTCCAAGCTGCGTGATTTCTCCAGCCCTGCCAATTCCAAAGCTGAGATTCCACACTTAATTCTCCCAGGAACTCTCTCTTCCTTGTTTATCCATCTGGCATACACTTACTGTCCTAGGCCCACTCCACAGAGAACTCGCACCCTCACCAGACTGGGTCCCCACCTAAAACTCTGAGCTCCCTCCAGAGCCAGTCTTCAAGAACAGTGACCACTTTCCACATCACCTTCCTCTCCACAACAGTGACAGTCATGGGATGAGTGGGGAGCACCCCCATCCAGGGACACTGTCTTAAACCTTCCATCCCTGGACACACAAATCCACTTTCTTTATAAAAAGCAATGTTTGGAGCTCAACGTGTCAAGAAAGCTGAACAAACCTTTCAGATTCTGAAATTCAATCCTTCCAAAGGGCAAGCTGGACATACACATGTGCACCAAAGGACCAACGTTGCAAAACTCATGCACAAAAACCGAGATAGGGCCTCCACTATCTCACTACGTCAGGGCTCTGTTTGCTGGCCCTCTAACTCTCTCAGAGCCATGGGAAGCAGCTGGGTTCCTGTTCCTCCTCTGGAAAGCTCTGATAGACACTGCTTTGACACAGGGCTCACCACAGGCACATGAGGCCTGGCCCCCAAATGCAGCTGAGCCACAGGGTCCAGCTCAGTATCAGCAGCACGCTAAGCAGTACACTCAAGAGCTTTTGTGACAGCTCAAAGTGCTCTTGATATTATGGACTCAGATAGTGACAATTTTTTTTCTTCTGGTACTGGGGAACAAACTCAGGACCCTGTACTTGCAAGGCAGGCACAGCACCACTGAGCTAAATACCCAGCCCTGGACTCAGATAGTTTACAGTAGTATTTCCAAGTGTGAACCACAGAACTCTAGCAGCACCCAGTGTTCCAAGTAAAAAAAAAGGGTTCCATGCTTGAATCAATTTGTAAAATACTGTATGTTGCTGTCCCTCTCTACTGGCACACACGGACACAGTAAAAGCTATACAAAGGTGAGTTTAAATACAATTTAATTGTATTTGATCAGCACTGCACACATATTTCAATGAAGAAACTCCTCTGTGTAACAGGCTTTAAAACTGTGATCAGAGGGCCGGGGATTTAGCTCAGTGGTCCCACCGCCTGCCCCCCAAGCACAGGACCCGAGTTTGAGCCCCGGTACCAAAAAAAACCTGTACTGTGATCACAGCTGGCTATCATGGCACATTCCTGTAATTCCAGCACTTGGGAGACTGAGGCAGGAGGATCACCTCAAGTTCAAGGGCATCCTGGGCTACACAGAACGACACTCTCCCAAAAAGCAAAACAAAACAAAACAAATTCTGATGATCACACTCCAGGAAAAGACTCATCCTGGTAGTCTTCTAGTCTCACCCCCAAAAAAGTGCCAGGGGTACAGTATTAACAGACATTAACCTAAGGCTGGAAACAAAGCCAATTTGGAATGAAATTGCTAATAGCATGTCAAGGTGATCAGAAGCTTTGCCTCAACCTAGACCAGTGGTGGAGAACCTAAGGTGAACCGATGTCACAGTGGGCTGTTTCTATCACTGAAAGCTCTAAAAGGTTTGCCGTCACTGACTTAGGGTCTTAGTTGAGAAGTATTAGGTATTTAGGGTATAGGCACAGCAGTGGCAAAATTCACTGCAAGGTGTGTTCGGATCCCAAGCACAGTCCCTAAATCCACACCACCTCCTTACCCAGTTTTATGTACAGCAACTCCTAGCAGGGAAAATAAAATGCATCCAAGGATCATCTGCTGGCACAACTGGAACAGAGGAGAAGCTGAGAAATTGAAACAGAAGACTATACAGGGTAAAGGGGCAGAGCAGACTCTTAGAAGAACTGCAATAAGGAGCCAGCCTCTGCTGGGCAGAGCCAGGGAGAAGAAAAGCCAGCACAACAGAGAAGAACAAAAAGGAGGTAGAGACTAATTTTTCAGGGAGCCCAGGAGAACCTGGCCACTTTAAACAGGCTCTCTCAGCAACCAGTGAAATTCTTCACGAAGTAGAAAGAAGACAGAATGTTTTTTCTCAACAGAGTTTGCAATGCACTGTCTCTATGCAAAGAGGACCCCATCCAAGAAACTTGCTACCCGAAGGGCAGGGCCAGCAGAGTGCAGTACATCCCTTTCCACTCAACCCAGATCCAGGGTGCTAAAGGTCACAGCTATCACTTACTTTCTGGATGGTAAGAGACTTTCTTTCACAGCATGGGCATCATGAATATGGCTGGAGTCAAAAAATTTTTTAAAAAATCCGAGTTCTCCTCTGCTGTCTCAGGTCAAGCTTAGCTGTAGATGGTGCTGACTCCACCTGTCCCGCCTTACCGGAAAGGAAAAGGATGTCAACAGATGGCAAGAAAGAAAAATAACTGGTGTGTACAACCTGTCTACTCAGGTTTCAAAGCCAAACAAACTCAACCCTCAGGGACGCTTACTCACTGACGTCCCGGGGTGCTGGGCTGGCATGTGAGGATGCCCTGAGGAAAACACAACACACAGGTGTGGGGCCAGTCTTGGGTGTGCACAATCCCATGTTCACCCATGCACTGGCTTAAGTGTTACAGAGGTCCCCTAAGGGGATCTGTAAAGGCGCATTCAGGGGAGGGGACAAGTACTGGGGTTAGACTAACTGCCACCTAGAGATGGGAGGAGTGGGGTGAGGAAGAGAAGTGTAACTATTAAAAAGCCAATGCCGGGGATTTAGCTCAGTGGTTCAGCCGCCTGCCTTGCAAGCACAAGGACCCGAATTCCATCCCCGGTAACAAAAAAAAAAAAGCCAATGTACTCCATGAAGGTACCTCACTTCACTCTCAATGGGGGGAGGGGGGCCTTGGAATACTCGGAAGATTTACAGACTGCTAGTCTAGCGGCCAAGCAGGGAACTGAGATACTGTACCAGATCTCTGGCTCGAAAGCTCACTGTGTTTTTCAATTACATGAAGCTGCCTCACTGCCCCTTTCTGGGCACAGGAAAGAGAAAATCAGAGCCCTTTCTTTTCTGGGATGAGGGACAGAGAGCGAGATGACAGAATTTAAAGAAATAGGGCAAAGATGGATTTCAAAATAGGAGGACGCGCAGCTCTGCCTTCCTGGATCCAAGCAGCTTATTTCTTCAGCATTTTCTGTGTGTGTGTGTGTGTGTGTGTGTGTGTGTGTGTGGCGCCAGGGTTAGAGGTAAGAACAGTCCCTGCCCTCAAGTGCATTACGTTCGATGAGAAGTCATACAAGTAAACAGACCGCGGTACTAAGCGCAAGTGAGGAAGGGTAGGGAAGGGTAGGGAAGGGTAGGGAAGGGTAGGGAAGGGTAGGGAAGGGTAGGGAAGGGCGCTCTGGCAGTGAACGGGTGCATCTATCTGGTGCTGAGTAAATGCTGGCAAAGAGAAAGGGACTGGGTGAAAAACACGAAACGGGCAAGAGTGGAACGTGGCCGTGAAGGCTGGGAAGGATGGACTCCACACCGTAAACCCGGGTTCTTGGTCCCGCCCCCTCCTCTCAGAGCCGCGGAGGGCCGGGCCTCGAGGCCAGAGCGTGGGGACGCTCGTCTGACCTAATCCTCAGCCCTGAGAGCCCCACTGTTCCACCAGCCCGGGCTGAGCTGCTCAAAGACCTCCAGGCCAGGGCTGGCGAGTCCCACTACCCCAGCGCGCTCGCCCTCTCACCTTCACCTTCCCGGCCTCGCGGCGGCCATCACACCCATAACGTCACTAACGAGCGCCATCCCGAGGGGCGGTAAGAGGAGGACGGAGACGTGCGCGTCATCAGCCGCCGGCGGCTTCCCGGTCGGCCTAGACGAACCAGTGGACTACCGAGCTTAGCCAGTTGGACCTTACTACTCCTTATATCTCAGTGGTCTCACGGTTCCGCCCCTTGAAAGGTGCCGCAGCGCGCTGTTTTTACCGCCGGCGTGTCCCAAGCCGATGACATAAGAGCCTCCGGGCTTCCGCTGCATCATGGGAGTTGTAGTTTCTGAGGGCGCGGACTACAGCCGGGAGGGTAGGGCTGGGCGGGGCTGGGCCTCCAGCTGTCAAGAGGCAAGAAAATAGTCGCGCGGATTCCAGGTTCCCCTATTTGGCTTGTTGCCCCAGAATCTGCCAGCTCCAGAATCGGAACTTGAATCTTGTGATTTTTTGCAGAGAAGCGCCCTCAAGAGGACCAGGGAGATAGGGGAGTAACTCATCCAGGGAGACAGGCAACCCAGAACCCAGAACCGGCTGCCCTTCAGTTGCCTTTATGGACAGCAGCAGCAGCATACCAGGCTCAGAGGGTGACTGCCCAAGCTCACATGTCAGTCATTGGGCACCTCATTATGTGCCAGAAACTAGGAGACAGCAGGAGACGGCCTCAGCAGGGAGCCTGGGCTGGCACACGGGGCACCGGCCACTGTTGAGTGGCTATTGAGTCCGCACAATGCAGGAGGTGCAAACTGAGATGTGCCCTAAGACTTGCTGTGAAAAAGAATGTGAACCATCTCGTTAGTATTTCTATGTTGATGGCATGTTTAAATTATATTTTGGATAAATTGGGTTAAATAATATAATTATCTAAATGTTCACCTTTTTCTTTTTACTTTTAAAAATGTGGCTACTAATCCAGGCGTGGCGGCATATGCCTGTAATCTCAGCACTCCAAGAGGCTGAGACAGGAAGATTGCAAGTTCAAGCCCAGCCTGGGAATCTAGTAATATCCTATCTCCAAAGGCCTGGGGATGTAGCTCAATGAGAAGGGGCTGGGTTCAATCCCCAATACTCCAAACACAAAAATGTACGTACTAGAAAATTTTAAATTACATAGTTGCTTGCATTTGTTACCCACGTTGTATTTCTATTGAACAACATTGTGTAGTTAGATAGTTAGACATAAATGGGCTTGGGGGACCAAAGGGGAGTCCAAAATAGCATGCTTTGCCAGTTAAGAAACAAAGACTTCGTGGCCGGGGATTCAGCTCAGTGGTTCCAGTGCCTGCCTCACAAGTGCAAGGTCCCGAGTTCGATCCCTGGTACCAAAAAAAAAAAGAAAGAAGAAAAGAAACAAAGACTTCGCTGGAGATTTAGCTCAGTGGTGCCGGCACCGGCGCCTGCCTCAAAAGCACAAGGTCCTGAGTTCGATCCCCGGTACCAAAAAAGAAAAAGAAAAAGAAAAGAAACAAAGACTTCAATGTATAATACATTTATAATCATTTCTTAGGTCTCAAACCTAAAGCAATCCCAAAGAGTGCAGTCCCATTATGCACATCCCTACTGATACCTGGGCACCTGGCCATCTAGTTCCAAGCAAGAAACACAGCACTCCTGGCTGTCATAGCCTATAGCCCAGTGATATCAGGAAAGGAAATGTTCTTTAAAGACCCTCCAGGCTTGGGCTGAGACTTGGTTTAAATTAAGGACTTAGTGTAGTGGAGCACACCTACAATCCCAGCACTTGGGAGGCTGAGGCAGGAGGATCACAAGTTCAAGCCCAGCCTTGGCAATTTATCAAGATCCTGTCTCAAAAGAAGGGCTGGAGATGTAGCTCAGTGGGAAGGCTCTGAGTTCAATCCCCAGTACTACAAAAAAATATATTTTGTAAATTTTTCCTATAAGTTTCTCTATAAGGCCACTGAAGTAACACTGACCATCCAAAAAGGACAGGAAGACATTCTGCAATTCCAAAGTAACTTTTAAGTAAAATGTTAATAAGCATTGCTGATAATTATCTTACTTCCCTGAACCCCAGGGGTAACTCAGTTTCAGGCTGGCTTTAAACTCACTATGTAGCCCAGGGTGGCCTTGAACTCACAGCGATCCTCCTGCCTCAGCTTCCCAACTGCTGGGATTACAGGTGTGTGCCACCATGCCTGGCTCACCTATGTGTCTTGACTTCATTCATTCATCAAGGGCACAAAGAACCTAGGACCAAGAAAGTGAGGGGTCAGTCCCTCACTGTGACAGGACCCAGCTTCCTGGTGACAGCCCTGCCCCAAATCCAGGGTAAAATCTAGCCAAAGAGCCTCAGAAGGTAAATCAGTGCTCTGGGGCCTGTCCTGGGAAGTGGGTCAAAGGGAGCTGACTCTCACCACCCTCAGGGGAGCCTCCTGTTATCTGAATAGACAGAGGGGCCACACCCAGACTCTGCCTGCAGGTGTGACCAAGCCTGGGAGGTAGCATTTACCAGGGCCTCAATTACCAGCTGTCTCAGACTGCCACTGTTTTCTTCTTCATAATCTCCAGCCTCCCTGGGACTCTCAGAGGGCAGGAACCATGAATTCCATTTCCTTTCACCAACAGAATCTTGCCCAAGTCAGGTGGAAGCCTGAAGGTTCTCTGAACATCTTTCCTGTCCATTCTCTCTTCTCTAAACTTCCCTGCAAGCATTGGCTCAGGCCCTGGTCATGAATTCCACTTGTCATCAGAAAAAGGTAAGTTTTACAGTTAACAACCCCAGGGTAGGGTATAGCTCAGTGGTAGAACATGTGGTTAGCATGCTCAAGGCGAGGCCTTGAATTCAATCCCCAGCACACCCCACAAAAACAAAATAAACTCTGACACACACACATACACACACACACCAGCTCAAGAACCTTGTTATGGTTTAGATCTAGAATGCCTCCCATGACCGGGGATTTAGCTCAGTGGTTTCACCACCTGCTGCATAAGCGCAAGGACTGGGAGTTCGAACCCCCGTTCCCAATAAATAAATAAATAAATAAATAAATAAATAAATAAAATGTCTCCCAAAAGTCTCCCATGTTCAGTGTCAGGACTTATGGGGGTGGATTGGACCCAGGGGGATGTGATACTCTTCAGTGGATTGACCACACTCAGTTCATGGCTGAATGTGCTATTAGGAGGCGGGGCCTGTTTGGAAGAGGAGTGTCACTGAAGGTCACTGAAGGTGACTCCTTCCCTCTCTCTCTGCTTCCTGGCTGCCTACGTTGAGCAGCTTTCCTCCGCCAGGCCCTTCTACCTTGCACTGTTTCTGCTTTGGAGCCAGTCTACTATGGACTGAACCCATCGGCAACTGTGAGCTAAATAAACTTCTCCTTTAAGGTATAAGTGTCAAGTAATTCATCCCAATGACAGGAAAATGACTACTATAAATGTCCAAGAAAAAGATTAGCCATGGTGGCTTCTGGAAAGAGGAACTGGGCAGTTTGGAGTAAGAAAGAGAAATGAAGATTTATGCTATTTGAACTCATCTTGAGCCAATTTTGAAAAACAAAACACTTAAAAACCTTTAGAAAGCAAACATCCAACCTCAAATGACTCCAGTCGTCTCCCAAGTTATGCCCAACTCTCCTTAGCCTGGTGCAATGGTTTGAATGTGTCACCCATGCTTTCCGATGTCGCAGACTCACTCCCAAGTCTTAGAGTAATGGCATTCATAGGTGGGGCCTTTAAGAAAAGGGCTGGATGAGGTCCTGAAGGGGAGACTCCCGTGAGGGAACTGGAGGAAGACAGATACAAGCCAGCTCACTCCCTCTGCTCACCAAGTGGTTCCAGCCACCATATAGAGGTGCAGGAAGGAGCCCCTCATTAGACACGGGCACCACGCACTTGGACTTCCCAGCTGGCACAACCATGAGCCTCTAGCGCCTCTTTGCCTGTTGGAAACTTGCCCTATCCAAAGCCCAGCCTATGTGACATTGGGTTTCCTCAGCCTCAGTACCTTTTGGGCTGGATGACTCCTTTCTGGGTGGTGGTGGAGGGCTGCCCTGGGCCCTGCAGGATGCTCAGGATCATCCCTGGCCTCTGTCTGCTAGACCCCAGTAGCATCCCCCTCCCCAGTGGTGACCACCACAACCAACACTGCTTTCAGATCTGGCCAAATGTCCCCTTGGGGTCAAGATCCTTCTCAATTGAGAGCATTGGGTTATGCTGGATGACTAGTGGCCTCTGCTCCTCTCCCACTTGTTCTTATATCACTGTGACAATGATCAGAGCTCACAGTGAGGTGCATTTAGTTTCTTCCCCCTCATCCCCACCTGGTACAGGGGATCAAACTCAGGACCTTGTGCTTGCTAGGCAGGTGTGGTGCTACTGAGCTAAATCCCCAGCCCTATTTAGTTCTTTTTGTCCCTGCCTCCCCACACTGCTAGTTACCAGTGGCCTGGTGGCAGGGATCTGTCAAGAGCCATTCTACCTAAATTTGGGGGAAAAAAATTATTTCATAATTAAAGTACCATTATAGCTCTCCAAGGCCAATGTCACCTTGCCTGTGGGCCAGATATGTCATGCAGAAACATAACTCCATTTTGCCTCTGGTCACAAGTTGAGGCCTCATGGTCCCCTGATAATGTGACACTCAAGGGCAAGTGTACATCAGAAGAAGACATCCTGGTTCTTGGAGAACTGAGTCATGATAAAAAAGGAGAAAGGGGGCGGGGATTTAGCTCAGTGGTTCCGCAGCCTGCCTCACAAGTGCAAGGTCCCAAATTCAATCCCTGGTACCCCCCCAAAAAAACAGATATCAAAAAGAAGAAAGGTTTCACCTGGGGGAAGGACAAATTCTTTATTAGCCTGTTATCTTGTCCCACCTACTATTGTAAGAAGGTTCTGCTTACCACCTTCATCAACATAAGGTCCTCATCAGCAGAAGATCCTCATCAACATAGGATTACCATAGAATTACTGCTGTCTCCTAAGTCATCTGATGCCCTCCATTTACTGGGTGCACCCAATGCTGGCTAGCTAGCTCAGGGTCTTCCTCTTTGCCCACTCTGAGGCACTCATCTCGCGGCCCCCACATACTTTGAAATTATACAACTCTCTGTTGTCTTTTTCTTTAGCCTCCACTGTGCGCCTTTCTAGGCAGAAGACGGATCACCCTCACACAGGGATCAGATTGCTTCAATTCCTGAAACCCTATTCAAATCCCTGTCCCTATCACTCACTTGCTGGGTTCTTAGGTCAATGACTTGGTCTCTCTGAGCTTGTTCCCCATGTGTAAAAAGGGAATAATAGCCCCTACCCCAAGTGCTGCGTGCCAAGTGCCTCACATGGTAAAATGTTCAGCCTGCAGGAGGTGGACAGAAGTAGCTTTTAGGATGAGTAAATGCCCGGATGTAACCAGAAGACAGAGCAGGGTGCCAGAGCACCAGGAGTTCTCCCTGTTGATGTTTGCAGGCTGAGTGGTCTGGGGGGCTCCGGATCGGAGCTGACACCCAGTGCAGGTCTGGACAGCAAGAAGTGTGCCCCAGGCAGCAGCCAGGGCCTGGCTCACAGCAACGGTTTCCAGAATAAACAAATGCCACGGAGGTCATCTGGCACTGGCTCTGAGCAACAAAAGTACCTGAGTGTGCTGCCACAGCCTTTCCTACCAATCAGGGCTGGCTCTTCTTCTTTTCCCCTGTTTGTTTGTTTGTTTGTTTTTTGAGACAGTCTCACTATGCATTCCAGGCTGGTCTTGAGTTCACTAGGTAGTCCAGGCTGGTCTCAAACTTACTGCAATCCTCCTGCCTCAGCTCCCCTAGTGCAAGAATTACAGGCATGCACTACCACACTTGGCAAATCAGGGTTTCTTGATTTTTTGGGGGGGAGGGGGTGTACCGGGGATCGAACTTGGGACCTTGTGCTTGCAAGGCAGGCACCAGAACCACTGAGCCAAATCCCCAGCCCAAATCAGGGTTTCTTAAGCACCCCCACCCGTCACTTGCTAGACACACGAATACTCGCCAGCCCAAAGCACCCTCCACTCTGTGGCTTGAACACCTTTAATACAACTCTCCCATTTCTGCCTGTCCCTCTTCCCCCATAGGCACTGGGACAGAGTGACGCAGTGCAATGGGGACCTGTCACTCTCCTCCCCCGAGCTGGAGCAGCGATGCCTTCGCTGTCCCCTGGGAAGTTCTGAGTCCAGGGACAAGTTTTTTCTCATGATGGGGCCTGGAAGAAGGGACTTTGGCAGCCCAGGGCTCAGGGCAGAAACCTGCACCCCATCAGGTCTCCGCGTTGCCCCAAAGCTGGAGGCAGAATCCCGAGGGCCTGGCGCTGTGTCAGAGGAGCTCTGGGGCATGGCTTCCCCCTTGCACTTGGGGAGCCTGTTCAAGTCTGTTCAAGTCGAGGCCAGAGAAGAATGGGAGGAAGAGGGTGCTGGGTGTTTTAGGGGAAGACAAGTCACTAAAAGTATGAAAGTGATTCGTGCCCCCTGGGGCTGGGCTTGGAGCACCACAAAAGCCCCAGCCCCAAGGCTGCTGTGTCGCTGGCCTGGCTCAGTCCCCACAATGGCAGCTCCAGCTCTGAGGGCAACGGAAATCAAGGACCTAAAAGCTGCGCCAGAATGGCAGGGACCCCGAGGCCCTGGGGAATGCTGGGCAGTGGTTGTCAGCAAAGGAAAGGTCCAAGGGGGTGGGCTTAGCCAGTTAGGGGTCCACAAAGGAGACAGCGATGTAGCGGGTGCCCCTGGTGGTGGGGAGCCCCTCGTGGTAGTGTGTGAGCCGTCCGGGGTGCATAAGAGCCCAGCCCTTCCTCGGGGCTTGGACGGAGCAATTGTAGCGCAGGAACCGGCAGCCCCCGCCCTGGGAGAGAGGAAGAGAGGAAGCATCAGGGCCGTCCATGCTCCTGCCCCGCCCCATGCGCCAGTATCCCTGGAGACGCCCTGTGGAAGGACAGCCACAGGGTGCCGGGGACAACAGCATGCAAAGGCAGGGATGGCGAGCTCTGGCCTTGGAGCCAGGCAGCCCTGGACAGACGCCACTCTTCCCACTACTAACTTTGTGACCAACCTGAGCCTCAGTTTACTCTTCTGTAAAATGGAGGTGAGACTGCACTAAGCTGTGAGGCTTGACTGTGTCCGAGCATTTAGCTGGCATGTGTGAGGCCCTGGATTCCATCCCCAGCACCACCAACAAAACAAAACAGTAGCTTAAGGAGTGGGCGAAGGCCCGCTCGCTCCCTAACGGACACAGGCGTCGCTCCAGGTCTTCCCGGTTTCCCCACTCCGCCTCAGCCCCACACCCAGCCGACACCACCCTTGCTGCTTCCGAAGTGTCCTTCTTCCTCCCACAGGAGGGGACCAGGCAATGGCCTTGTGGCCTCTGTTGTTCTCACAGTTCCAGGACAGCACTCAGTTTTCACCCAAGACTTGAGCCAAAAGGGAGGCTGAGAAATGTGCCTGAGGCCGCACAGCTGGGAACAGGGATCCAGTCCCAGTCCTCCTAAGGCTCACGACGTCACCTCCAAAGCCCCTCCCTCCTGCCAAATGGCGCTCTGAGCCCACCCCTCCCAGGAAGCCCCCACCACGCACCTGGTACCCATCCTCTTTGGCTCTGGGGCCCTGGGGTCCCCTGGTTCCCCTGCCTCAACCACTCTGGCCCCACTCACCTCGTAATCCTCCCCTACTCGGTTGAGGGCAATGTTGACAGTGAAGGTGGAGGCGTCATGGTGTGGCATCAGCGAGGGCTGCTCGTCTGGCTTGTAGCGGACAACAAAGGCGAGGTCGAACTGGGCCTGTGAGGGCCGGGGATGAGAGGCAGGTGAGGGTGGGAGAGGCCGGGGCTGCAAGGGCCTGACCCATTAGCTGGGAAACCGAGTCCCCAGGTGCCCGGAATAGTGCCCGGCAGAGAAGATTCTCAATAAAAAGACACAGGAAGCAGGAAGTGAGGAGGGACACAGGGAGTGGGGGGAGAAGAGGAGGAAAGGAAAGAGAGCGGAGAAGGGAAGGAAGGAAGGAACCAAAGGGCAGGAGGCGGGAAAGAATCCAGGCCTCATGAGCCCCTGGGGTCGTGGCCGTCCAGGCCTCTGCTTCCCTGAGAGGAGGCACCGGCACGGCCAGAGCAGGGGTCTGGAGAAAGCACATGAGCAGGGACAGAACGGAGCCAGCCAGAGAGTGACAGAGCCGGGGACACAGCACAGCGGAGGGACAACTGAGGGAAGAATGCGCATGTAGGCCAGCTGCCCCAAGGCTTGGTGGGGGGCTGGTGCAGGAGCCACGGAGGCCTAGGTTTAGGGACATGGAGGAAGGATTCAAAAGGGGGAGCAGAAAGAATGACCGTCATCAAGAAATCAAATAAAAATTTTTAAAAAAGAAATCAAGGGCTAGGGATTTAGTTCAGAGGTTCCGTCACCTGCCTCGAAAACACAAGGTCCCGAGTTTGATCCCCGGTACAAAAAAAAAAAAAGAAATCTAATAATAGCAGGGTGTGGTGGTGGGCACCTGTAATCCCAGCACTCAGGAGGCTGAGGCAGGAGGATCATCACAAATTTGAGGGCAGCTTGGCCTACATAGCAGGACCCTGGCTCAAAAACACCAAAAAATACTAATAATAATAGTAGTCAAATAATAACAAGTGCTGTTGAGTCTGTGAGGAAAAGGAACCTTTCACACTACTGGTGGGACTGTAAACTAGTACAACCACTGTGGAGATCAGTATGGAGATTCCCCAAAAAAGTAAAACTAGGTGGGTGTCCTGGTGCGTGTCTATAATCTCAGCACTCAGGAGGCTGAGGCAGGAGGGTTGCTATGAGTTCGAGGCCAGCCTGAGCTACATAGTGAGTTCCAGGCCATCCTGAATTACAAAAAGACCCCAAAAAACTGGAAAAAAGAGGAGTGAATTCAGAGACAAAGGTAGTGTCCTTATGAGACCCCAGGGTGCCCCAAGGTCCCACCTCCCCACACCCAGTGTCCGGCCTCTCCCCAAAGCTGGGATGGCCCGCCCCTCCCAGATGCCCTACCCCACCCTGGTCCAGGCTGCACCCCAGGCCCCCACCCTGGTGTAGTAGCCGGGGTACAGCTTCTCTGTCAAGGGCGCGATGTACTCCACCAGGAACTTGTGCCACTCCCGCTCAAAGCTGATCTGGTTCATGTGGATGTCGATGGTCGGTACGTTTTCATAGCCACCCTGGATGCGGTTGTCCTGCAAGTGACCGCAGTGAGTACTGACACAGGCCCCAGATTCCTGTGCCTGGCACGCAGGCTCTGCCTCATACGCCCCCAACCCGGGGACAGGATGGGACTGCATGACAGTAGGAGGCAAAAGGGGAGGAGCTGCAGATGCCAGTCAGGCGAACTTGGGTTAATCAGGAGGAGGCTGGCCTGGGCACAGTACAGCCTTTAAGACGGTCCAGGAGCGAGAGGCCATGTGTCACACTGGCATGGAAGAGGCCAGCTGCCATACGTACTCCAGCAGCAGGAAAGGGAATCCTGTCACCAACCACATGAGCTTCGAAAGGGACCCAAACCTCAGAGGAGACCCGAGCCCAGCTGCCCCTGGACACAGCTTTGTAAGAGGACCAGAGGATCCAGCTAAGGCGTGAACAAGTGTTGTAGGCCAGCCTGGTGGTGCAAACCTGTAATCCCAGTACTCTGGGAGGCCAAGGCAGGAGGATCTCAAGTTCAAGCCCAGCCTGGGCAACTTAGCAACTAAGCCAGACCCTGTGTCAAAATAAAAAAGGGCTGGGAATGTAGCTCAGTGTGAAAGCCCTGGGTTCAGTCTGCAGCACTGGAAAATAAATAAATAGGTGTTGTGTTAAAGCCACTAAGCTTGTGGTCACTTGTCACACAGCAGTAGGGCACAATTGGCCCAGGCCCTGGGGTCTGTGGCTGGCCATGGCACCGGAGCATCAGGGTTAGCCAGAGTTCAGACTGCCTGAGCTAACCCAGCAGGCTCTGTGTGGCCCAGACACCAAGGCAAGTGGACTAAGTAGGTACCAGAAGCCAGGCACGGTGGCACACACCTGCAATCTCAGCTACTCAGGAGGCTGAGGCAGGAGGATGAGAAATGTGAAGCCAGGAAGACCATGGCTCATAAAATGAGTAAATAAAAAGGGCTGGGGATGTAGCCTGGAAGTGGAGCTCTTTCCTAGCATGAATGAGGCCCTGGGTTCCATCCCCAGCACCAGGGAGGAAAAAGAGGCTGCCTGAACCTCCCACAATGAGCTTCCTGCTTCTGGTAACACAGAGCCTCTCGGTCCACCAGGCCCTGCATCCGGTGTCTGCTGAACTTGGACCTGAGATCACACGCCAATGCCCCTCATGCCACATGTGCCCATTCCACGCACCCAGGGGCAGAAATCCAACCACACTAACAGCAACCCGGAAGGAAGGATAGACTGGAGAAGGAGGGATGAATGGTTGGGCGAATGGAAGGATAGAAGGAAGGGGTGGGGTGGGGTGAGGATGATGGAGAGAGAATAGGTCAGCCAGTACTCCCAAGTCCACAGTCCCAGAGAGACTGGAATCGGGCTGGGAGAGTCCAGCAAGGGGGCATGGGTGGTGGGGTGGCCCTACCTTGTTGTCGCCAAGGGACCACTGGCCAAAGTGCTCCATCTCCTGCACCAGCTCGTCACAGGCCACCTCCGTGAAGATGGGGAACCAGTAGACATCGGGGCAAGGCTGGAGAGAGCAGGACTCAGGCACGGGGTCCAGGGCAGCCCCACCACATCCCCTGGGAGGCAGAACCCGCCACGGGGCTCCGAATGTCTGCCACTTCTTACTCCAGGCCTGGGGGCCACCGGCCACAGCCAGGCCACATTTGGGGACATTTCCCTCCACAGGCTCCAGGCAGAAAGGGCCAGTGGAGGGAGAGGGACATCCTGCCACCCGTTCCTCTGGCTGCAGCTGCAGCACTGCCAGGGCAGCTAGAAAGGGTTGCTCCCAGGGTGGCCACTGTCAGGGCCCCGCCGTCCCATCCACCGCAGCAGGTACAGGGTGTGAGCTGATAGTTTTGTTCCCAGGCCACAGACACCCTTACCGTCTCCACCAGCTTCCCTGCCAGGGCCTTGGTGTAGTTTTCGTGGATGTATTTCTCCTTCCAGTCCTTCGGGAAGGGGAAGGAATGGGGCTCGCCATGTGTCCACCCGCAGAGGCTCCCGAAGGGTCTCCCCACAGCACCCCGGGGACGTGTACACCCAGGACAGGTAGCTCTGTGCCCGTTCGGGCTCCTGCACATGTGTGCGCATGTGTGCATCTACATACACACGGTTGCGCGCAGGTACAGTATGTGCAAATGCCCCTGCCAGCCACAAGCTCCCAGTATCCAGGGTCACTGTCACAACAGTCTCCTCTGATCATCATGACACCCTCAGGGACAAGGCAGGCTGGGAGGGCACAACTGTCAGAGCTAAGATAACAGAGGCCCCAGAAGTTGAGAGGACTAAGTCACAGCTGAGCTGGGCAGATCTGGGCCACCAGCCCTGACACCTGCCCCCTCTTCCATTAGATGGCACTGTCTCCCTCCTGACCCAAATCCTGCGCTGGCTACTGAGTCCCTGAGGTGTAAAAAGGGGGAAGCAGGTGCCTGCAGACCAAGGAGGCGCCTCTGGCCCCAGGTCACAGGAGTCCTTCCCTGCCCAGGCCCTCCCCGCCCGCCGGGCCTCACCTCCGGGTTGCTGAAGACCTCCCAGAGGTCGTTGTGGAGGTGGGTGGTCTGGTAGCTGTCCAGGGACAGCAGGTGGCCAAAGCTGTGCCGGTTGGTCAAAAACATGAACACCTCCTGGGGAGAGCAGGCCTGATAGGAGAAGGGCTCCCCACCATGTCCCCCTGCACACCCCGGGACAGAGTCAGCCTGCTGCACCTGCTAGGCTATGTTCACAAGATTAGCGGCCCATGAGTGGGGGTTGCCTGTGTCCCCGGCACCTGGCCTGGGCCCAGCACTGGGGATGGAACAAGACTTCCTGAGCCGGGGATTTAGCTCAGTGGTTTTGTCGCCTGCTGCACAAGCGCAAGGACCCGAGTTCCATCCCCGATACCAAATAAATAAATTAATTAATTAATTAAATTTTAAAAATAAATAAAAGGAAAGGACTGTGAGCTGGGCATGGTGGCACGTGCCTGTGACCCCAGTATGGGGAGGCTGAGGCAGGAGGACTGCCAGGAGTTCGAGGGAGGCTGAACTACATAGCGAGACCCTGTCTCAAAAAACAACAAAAAAGAAGCTCCCGGGCCTAAGTGACAAGGCGGCCCACCTCCCCATGCCACTCGCTGACCTGCTGCCGGATGTTGGCGCAGAAAGCCATGTCAGGGTCCAGCTTCCTGTGGTGGAACAGGTCCGTGTGCTGCAGCTCCGCCCGCAGGGCGCTGCCCTTGATCAAGTAGATGTTGGAGATGTAGGGCACATTCCAGATGCCGCTGGGAGGGGGCAGAGGAAGAAAAGGGTCACTGGGGAGTGGGGAGGAGTCACAGGCCAGAAGTCTGGCTCCTGGACCAAAGGTGTGGGGGTCACAGGCTGGGACAGCATGACAGAGCCACCTGAAGCCCCTACTCTGTGCACACGAGCCCGGGACAGCTGTCAGGAAGTCCTTCTGTGTGTCTGACTGCAGTCTTTCTTGCTTGAGGTTCTACAGCAATTTTTTTGCTTTGGTTTGGGTTTTGAGACAGGGACTCACTCTAGTTCAGGCTGGCCCCCGACCCACAGTGATCCCCCTGCCTCAGCCTACTGAGTGCTGGGATTACAGGTGGGAACCACCACACCCGGCACAACTGCAATCTGAGGGCACCCAGCACAGGAACTCTGGGCGGGGAGCAGCTGGAGCTGAGGTGCCCTGCCACGTGGCTACTCACACACGTCGCCCATGCACGATGTCTACGTAGTCCTCCGAGCGAGCGTAGTAGCCGTCCGCACTCAGCGCCCCCCAAAAATTTGACCACAGCCTCCCGGGGCGCATCATGAGCGGGGCAATGACGTTCCTGAGGAAGGGGCGCCTCAGTGGGGGCAGGAGGCAGAACCGACCAGGGATGGGGACCAGGAGGGGGCAACTGGGACCAAAGCCCAGGCCCCAGGGCAGGCGGAGGAGGAGCAGGGTGAGGGGCTCCCCTTGCCTGGCCTATGCCCAGCGCTGCCAGGTCTGTGGCCTCCCAAGACTCACTTGTTCTGCTCGATCAGCAGCCTCAGGCTATCGGGCTCGGTCAGGGCCACATCGGCGTCCACACTGAAGTAGTAGGTGCAGGTCTGCTCCTGCCGGCACAGGTCTCTGCACGGCATCAGGCGAGAGGTCAGTGATCCGGGGCTGCAGCAATGGCTCCAGCCACCCTGAGGGTCCCTCCCAATGCGGAGACCCACAGCTGGGCTGTGGCGAGTGCCATCGTGACAGTCCTGGGGGAGCACAGCCTGCCAGACAGGCCCTCCGCTGCGGGGTGGGGGTGCTCGAGCTTGTCTGGAGGCCAACTTGGTAACTTGTACCAAAAGCCTGAAAAATGATGAGGGCTGGGCCAGGCGCAGTGGTTCGAGCCCAACTTACTTAGTGAGATCCTGTCTCAAAATAAATAAATAAATTTTAAAAAGGGGCTAGGAATATTGCTCAGTGCAAAGGCCCTGGGTTCAATCCACAGGCTGACCAAAAAAAAAAAAGAAGAAGGCTGGGGATTTAGCTCAGTGGTTTCACCACCTGCTGTGCAAGTGCAAGGACCCAAGTTCGATTTCCTGGTACCAAAAAAAAAGAGGGTTGGGATGTAGCTCAGCGGTGGAGCCCTTGCTTAGCATTCACAAAAGCCTGGGTTCCATCCCTAGAACCACAAAAACAACAGCAACAGCAAATGTGTGTCCTTTTTGTTCACCTGGCCCAGGGCTCAGCAAACTATGGTCCCTGATCCAAATCTTCCCACTGCCTGTTTTCTGGTTTTGTTTTTTGAGACAGGTTCTCACTATGTAGTTCAGGCTGGCCTTGAAGTCAGTATGGAGCCTAAGCCGGCTTTAAATTCATGCCACCACACTAGGCCACTGCCTGGTTTTGTACTGCTCGTGGGCTAAGAGTAGTTTTCTGGTTTTGAATGACTGGGAGAAAAAAATCAAAAGAATATATGAAGATTATAAGGAAGTCAAATTTCATTGTCCATAAACACAATCATGGTGGAAGACAGTTGCACTCATTCATTATGTGTCCTCTGGAGCCACTGGGGTACAAGGGCGGCCCAAGAAGCCCTTATGCACCTGGAGTTACCCCTAATCCTTCACAGGAAGCTGCCAGCCTCTGATCTGATTCTTCCACAATCAACACAAATTACTTCTGTCTTTGCCCCTTTTTTGCTTTGTTTTTTTTGTTGTTCTTGCTATGTATTCTGGGCTGGCCTTGAACTTACTGCAATCCTCTTGCCTCAGCCTCCAGAGTTCCGGGATTATAGGCATGCACCACTACACCCAGCTGATTTCTTCTTTTATTAAAAGCAAAACAAGCCAGGCATGACAGCACACATGGAAGCTGAGGCAGGAGGATCACCGTTAGTTCCAGGCCAGCCTGGGCTACATAGCGAGGCCCTGTCTCACGAAACCACTAATAATAATGGTAATGATAATAAGAATCACAGCCCATCCGCCCACCAATGACAGTGAAGAGGACCCGGCCCAGGACTCACGCGCCCATGTTCCTGGCGTTGGCATTCGACATCCGCACCTCAGGGCCCACCAGCTTCACCGACTGGTACTCACCGCCGTGCTCAGCCAGGAACTGCTCCACCTGTGCCTTGTGGTGCTGCTCCTGGGGGTGGTGGCAGGATGAGGACAAGGGAACAGGGCCCACCCCGGGGACCCTAGCACCCTCTGGCACTGCCAGGCGGCTCCCTCCACCTGCATTTCTGTCTCCACACCTTTACCCTGAAGGCCCGTCCCTGGCACCAGGTGATGACTTTGATTTGACGACCAACAGCCCATTCCCAAGCCCCCTGGGGTGGAGGCATGGGGTCTGTAGACCCAAACCCAAGGTTCAGACTGACTTGGGCTGCCCCACGATGAGCTTGTGACCTGGGACCGGGCCTTTCACCCATTTCCACTTCCGTTTCATCCCTTGTACAATGGGAAGACAATCACACCTGCCTCCAGGTCACGGCAAGCAGGCATCGAGTCAGCTGCAGCACTCAGTAGGTCCTCAGAGGCGGCCTGTGACATGTCTCTTTCTATACAAAGTCACTATTCGTGGGTGGGTGGCTTGCTGTCTGCAGGGCAGGGCCTATGTCCCCTCTGTTTCCAGATGGCACGATGCACGGGTGGAATGAATGTTGGTGACAGAGGCAGGGAGCTGGGTGTGGTGGCACAGGCCCGTAATCCCAGCACTCTGGGAGGCTGAGGCAGGAGGACTGCATGTTTGAGCCCAGCCTGGGCAACTGCATGACTTAGTGAGATCTTGCCTCAAAATAAAAACTGAGAAAAGGGCTGTGGGAGAGAGCTACAGACAGGGCAGCAGCTGAAGGACTTTCAGGAAGCCAGAGCTTCGCACACACGGAGGCTCTGAAGAGTGTGCTGGCACCGCAGCTGGACAGACAGGTAAGAGAGGCCAGAGGGAGGACCTGTGGCCGGAGGGGAGCTGGGAGGGAGGGGCCGGAGGGCTGAATCTAGGTGGCCTCAGGACCTTCCCTGATTGCCCAAAAAGTACTGAAGGAGGGGCAGGGGATTTGGCTCAGTGGTTCCGCCTGCCTCGCAAGCACAAGGACCTGAGCTGATCCCCAGTACCAAAAAAAACCAAAAACTAAAACCACAAGGTCCCAAGGTCGATCCCCGGTACCAAAAAAAAAAAAAAGTACTGAAGGAAAACAAAACCAAACCAAATACCAGGGACTTCTCTCTGCATGGCACAGGCTAACCTGGGCAACTCTTGCAGTGACTCTATGTGCTTGGCACTGGTACTGGGACTCAAACTCAGGATCCTGTGCTTGCCATTCTGGCACAGTGGCACAATTATTACCCATCCACTTTTTTTGTAGCACAGGGAATGCAACCCATAGCCTCACCTATGCTAGCGAGTGGTCTACGACTGAGCTACATCTTCAGTTCTTTTTGTTTCTGGAGTCAGGTTTTCCCTAAGTCGCCCAGACTAACTTCAAACTTGCAGTCCCCCTGCTTCAGCCTCCCGCTACTACACCCACCATTATCCTTATTTTATAGATGAGAAACGGGAAACATAGAGAGGTTGGGGAATGGGTCCAAGGTCACACAGCAATAAAACCAGTACTGTTGGGATTGAAGGCCAGCCAGTCTGACCCCAGGGCCATCTGGTCATTTGGGGACCTGGCCCACCACCCACTTCCGCTGATCCCAGACAGGCCTGGATGAGTCAGGTCCTTAGAGGCTTTAGCCTCCTCAGCAAGCTGAACCTGCCCCAAGCCACCCGAGGATCCTCACAGCGCCTGCCACTCACATGGCTGTGAATGAAAAGCCGCATCCGACTCCGGGGGTAGTGGAGGCGCAGGAGCCGCTGGAAGAACAGAGACAGGAACGGCGTGGGCTGCTCAATGAAAACGCCAACCAGGACCATGGGCAGAGCTTCGTCCTGTGTGAGGAGGTGGCATAAGAGTCCAGCTGTGCCCCACCATGCACTGTCACCAAGCCTTGGTGTGGCCCCAGGGAGCAGGGCCACAAGCAAAAATATGCGGCCATGGCCAGGCATGGGCGTGCCTGTCTGTGATCCCAGCACTCAGGAGGCTGAGGCAGGGGATGGCAGGTTGGAAGCCAGCCTGTACTACGTCTCAAAACAAACTAACAAACAAAAAGCATGTGGCCTCTGTTGGACTGGGGCCTGGGCCAGGGAGCACCCAGCGCGTGGGTTGTGCAGGCACCAGCGACTGGGACCAGCCGGACTCAGAGCAAGGCCTGGTGGACAGCGCGCTGAGGACGAAGCCTCGTGGGATGAAGAGGATCAGGGGAGGAAGAGAACACAGTCATCTGGAGGGAAGCCAGCGCCTGAGTGGTCCATGAAGGCTGCCAGGAGGGAGTGGGAGGTGGCAAGGGAGGCAGAAGCTAACACAGGGAGGTGAGCAAGAGCCAGAGGCCATCCCGGCCCCCCACAGCCTCCTCTATCTCTGGGCCTCACCCCGATGCCCTTCAGGCTGCGCAGACCCTCGTCACACACAGTGCAGCCCGTCTCGAAGGTCCAGAAGCGCGGGATGTAGTTGCCCAGGTAGTTTAGCTGCAGCTGTCGGGAGACGGGAGACACAGGGTGGGAGCGAACCAGGCCACCCATCCCGCCCACAACCTCCCCGGCCCAGCCCGGGTGCACCTAGCTCGCTCCCACCCTGAGTGGCCCAAGGGAGGGCAGAGGGAGCACGAGGCGCTGTAGTTAGTGCGTCTTCCTCTTTGGGCATTTGTAAGATGCAGGTTCCCGGGCCCCACCCCGGCAGAGGGCCCTGAGGCCGGCCCTCTGCAGCTGATCTGCCCCTCAATGTCTTCCACAGAGCCAGGAATGTGGGGGCCACATCCCCCTAGCTGACCACGCCTTCTCTCCCAGGGCAAGCAGTCGAGAAATGTTCCCTGAGTGAATAAAGAACTGCACCCTGGGACGAGGGTGTGTGATGGCTCTGGCAGCCCAGCCTCGGGCCAGGTGGGGACAGGAGGGGACACCAAGCTCTTATGCGTCCTGCTGTCCAGCAGGGAGGGTGGGCACGGAGCACCAGGGGAGGGAGGGAGAGAAGACGCGACTCACGGCGAGGGGTGACAGCAAGGGTTGTGCTGGGCTCTGCCCCCCTCAGCTCTCCCAGGGCTGGGCCCTCCCTCCTACCTTGGTGGGCCCGTTGCCGTGGATCAGGACCGGGAGGGTGTCGTAGGCCAGGTTCCGTGCTCTCACGTGGCCCATTTCAAACTTGAGCACAACTTCATCTGGGGGTCAGAAAGCACAGCCTGTCCACGTCCGCCCAGCGGCCAGGCCTGGGGCCCAACAGGTGGGGGAGGGCACGGCCTTGGGGAAGGTGCTTCTCCTCCCTGGCCTCAGTTTCCCCATCTGTAAAATGGGGACAATCCCTTCTTCAGGCCCCCAAGCCGAGTGTGAGATGTGTTAGGGCCAGAAGTGGTGGTGGGAGGGAGCCAAAGACCAGACCATCCCAGCTCCCACATGCACAACGGCACCAGGACACCTGGCATGGGGTCCCACAGCAGGGTCCCCAGACTCCCCGCCATGACCCTCGTAGTCTGCACAGAAGAAAATGGGCAGGAAGCTGCCGATGGCATGAGACACACAGGGCCTTTCTGAGAGGATGCTGGGGACGGAGATGACAAGGACCCCTGTGCAAGGTCCTGAACCGCCCAGAAGGGGACCTGGGCCCCACTTCTCCACCCAGGTCAGAGCCCCCAGAAACCACAGGCAGTGGAAGGGTGCCGTGGCTCTTCTCTGGGAGAGGACCCAGAGTTCTCATCAAAAGGACTCCATAAGCCCGGGATTTAGCTCAGTGGTTTTGCTGCCTGCTGCGCAAGCGCGAGGACCCGAGTTTGATCCCCGGTACCAAAAAAAAAAAAAAAAATGGACTCCGTAAGTTAAATCACCAATCAGGGTTCTGGTTGGTTTCCCACTGTGTGTGTGTCCGTGTGCGTGTCTGTCTGTGTGTGTGTGTGTATTTGAGGTCACTCAGCAAGATCTATGGCCAACAGGGGCCCATCCGTAAGGACGCATCCTGCAGGGCAAGAGTCCAGTTCATGCTCTGTGCACTCCCCGCCCCCAGCTGTTCCTTTCCTGGCTTCCCTCGAGAGACCTGCTGCGTGGGACCTGGGACCAGGCGGGTGACCTCCCAGCACAACCACCAGAGAGACGCCTCCAGTCCCCTGGGCTCAGTCCTGCCTGGAATCCTCGTTCCTCCCCCTCCCCAGCACCCACCTCCCAGCCCTCCCCTCCTGCAGGGGGCGCTCCACTCACCCAAGGCTCCGTCCAGGTTCTGGAAGATGCGGCAGCGGTGGTCCAGGGAGATGTTGATCTGCTCCTGGTGGAACAAGGGCACCGGGCTGCAGCGAGACCCGGCCCTGGTGGGCAGGACGCCTGGCACACCAGCGTGGGGGCCGTGCCCATGCTCACTCGGACAGCCGGGCACCAAGCCACCGGGGTTCCCTGATGTAGTGGCTTTACTCAGAGAGCCGGGAAACCCCAGCTCCGGAAGAAACCCAGCAGCTGGTCCAACCACAACAACCACCACAATGACAACCACAATGGTAACTTTACAAACATTGATTAGCACTTTGCTGCATGCCAGTCGCCGCTGTAACTGTTCTGTGTACACGTGACCTCCATGCAGCCCCGTAAGAAAGCAGCCGCTTTACTGCTTTTATTCCAAGCTCCCAGTCATCCTGGCAGAGACCTGACGAATCCGACCTCACACTTGCACCCCTTTTGTGGTAGTCAGTTACAGCCGCCCAGCACACCGACACAACCAGGCGCTCCAGCCCCAGGGGACTGTCCCCGGGCAGCCTGGCCAGCTGGATCCAGAGTCAGGATCCCCCAGGCCCCCTCTCGGCCCACCCGCCCCCTCTTACCCGCTTCTCCGGGTCCAAGAAGATCTTGGTGTAAAAGAGCTGGTCACTGTCGCTATCCTGGCCCTCCCACTTGGCCACCAGCTTGCTGAGGTTGGGGGCATAGCCGATGAAGCCTGAGGAGGGTGGCAGGGACCCCAAGACAGACACTTGGCTTCCGGCCGCTGAGTCAAGGCTCCTTCCCCTCCCTCCCCTTTAGCCACGAACCCTGCCTCCTCTCAGAAGATGCAAGCTAGTTAACGGGATGCAAGCTAGTTAATGTCACTGGCTGAAGGTTCCCCAGATCAGTGGCACCCAGCAAACTGTGCCTGCTTGGTCCAGAGATTGGACTGGGGGGCCCTGGGGGGTGGAGGTGTGGGGCCCAGGCTTGGAGCACCTTCTCTCAGTGACCTGGGAAACCTGGCCCCGATAATGGGAGAGAGGCAGGGCCAAGGTCACACCGAGCATTCTGGATGCTGAGCCCTGGTAAGCGGAAAAAGCTCACCAGGCTCCCTGGCTTGTGCAGACACAAGAGGCAAAGAGAGGAGAAACAGGACACCCTGACCCCAGGGCCAAGGCCCAGGCCAGAACATCTGCGCTGTGCTCGCTGGGCCAGTGAGACCATGGCTGCCGGGCTGATCTCCCCTCCTCTCCAAGCAATGGGAATTGGCTGAGCCATGAGTACAGATTTGCATCCTTTTGTTTGGGTTTTGTTTTTTGTTGGTTTTTTTTTGGTACCAGGGATTGAACTTGGGACCTTGCACTTGCGAGGCAGGCAGCAGAACCACTGAGCTAAATCCCCAGCCCTTGCATCCTTTTGTTTGTTTTCATTTTTGAGACGCTGTAGTCCAGGGCAGCCTTGAACTTGCCATGTAGCCCAGGCTGGCCTCAAACTTCCAATCCTCCTGCCTCAGCCTCCCTAGTGCTGCGACTATAGGCGTGCCCACTACATCCTGCAATCTGCACCCTTTAAAGACTCCCTTGGGTTGCTGCGTGGAGAAGAGACCAGGAGGGGACAAGGGTGGAAGGGGATGTGCAGAACTACAAGGGCAGACTGGAGAGCTCGCTTGGAGGGTGTCACATGACTCACGAGGGACCAGCCGTGGGAGAGGCCAAGGGCGGAATCGGGGTGACCACATTTTGGCCGTGCATCTGGGTGGCTGCTGAATGAGATGTGGACAACTCACCCGCAGGGCCTGAGAACCCTGCAGCTCCATTCAGGGCTCTCCGCAGGACACCACTGAGGTACAGGTGGCGGTCAGGAAAGCGGGACCCTCCCATGGGGGATGGCCGGGGCCCACGCCCTGTAGGCCTCTCACCTCCAGAGCCCAGGAACCTCTTGCCATCGGAGACCATGGGGTACTTGGCCTCTAGCCTTCGGTCGGGATAGATGAGCTCCTCCGCCGAGAAGACCACACGGCTCCTCGCCTGCCGGAACTTCTTCAGGAGCTCCCGGGGCCCCGAGGCAAACACCACATCATAGCTTCAGCCAGAGAAGGGAGAGGCAGGCGGGGCCCGGTGAGCAGGGGTCACGGCAGACCACCAGCAGGAGGGGACAGGGGTGGAGGCGCCCCACGAGAGCCTCCTCCCACACCAGCCTGGGCCACCATCCGGGGAACGGATCTGCTCCGGGTCTCAGGCACCACCTGCTGCGCCTCCATCCTGACCCTGGGCAGAGATGCTCCCCATAACCGTGTCCTTGTCACCCTCAGAGCTAGCACGTCATTCCCTCTCATCTTTTCCCCAAGAGTGGATAAGACCTGGGATGGCCTTATCCAGGGGTCCATGGATCCCCAACACTAGGCAGTCTTAGCTCAAGTGACCCTCCTATCCCGAAGTCCACAGGGCCCTGGTCAGGAAGTCCCCGCCACCCACCTGTCTGTGAAGAGAATGACCAGGTCCTCCTTGTCCTCGTGCTTCTCCAGCGCCTTCTTCAGCAGCCGGATCTTCTGTCCTCCACCCGCCGAAGTTCCCCTCTCCACACCCCAGTCCTCCCCCAGGCCCAGCGCCTGCAGAGTGCAGAGAAAGGCCACTTACCACCAGCTTTCAGGGGAGTATTTCTCGGCTGCACCTCCACCCCTCTGCTGGGCAGTGAGCACCTTGCTTGCCTGGCTTGTCTGGCCCCACTGCCCCAGGGGTTCCTGAGGCTGATGGGCTTCCTGGAGGCCATGTGACCACGCCTGCCAATCAGAATGTCCCGCTCCCCAACCACCTCTGAGCACAATGCTCCCTGTAACCCTGGATCCAGCTTCTCCTGAAGCAGCCCTTTGCTTCAATGCTATTTGCATGAACTATACATCTTCTTTCAAGCTTTCTGCCAAACTGTGACAGAGGTGCATCAGAGGGCTCAGGTGGGTGGAGGAAGATACCCCGCAAGGCTGAGCCCTGAGGGCCACGCAGAGGACACGAAGCCTGTGTCCCTCTCGCTTGCCTCCCAGAACAGCCTCATGCCCTACCCTGCCTTGTTCCCACTCACACTCAGCCTTCAGCGTTCCCCAGGCAGCCCCGGGCCCCAAGTCTGTCCCAGGGCCCTGGCAGTATGGGAAGGCGGGACAGGGCTCTTCCCCAAGCCCTCACCTGGATCTTGTAGTTGAAGAACTGTGCTGAGCGCTTGAAGCGGCGGAAGCCCTCGGTCTCCTTCGTGGCCACAGTGAGGACTAACAGGTTGTCTGAGGGCAGAGGGGGGCAAGGTGAGTGGGACTCGATGCCAAGGTGGTGAGGAGCGGCAGTCACTGCTCGAAGTCAAAGCCCAGCAGGACGCATCTTCATGTCGACCCATTACAGACGGCGCCAACGGAATAGACTTGACATCTCCCTCCACTCTGCCTGTCACCAGGGGCAGCTGCTTCGACCTTCAGAGCAAGGACCTCTCCGGGCTTCACCTCGAAAATGGAACTGGACAGACAACTCCTGAGACAGCAGCTCTCTGAGACTCAGTTTCCCCATTGGAAAGTAGAGATGGTGACAGCACCTACCGCCTGCTGGCTAAATGAGCCTGGCATGTACAGCCCTGGCTGGGATGCCTGGTACATGCTAAGGGCTGCCACTGGTGCTGTCCGCTGAGAGCAGGACGCCTCGCCTGGCATTCAAGGCCTCGTCCGGCGGGCGATGGACTATGGGCCCCTGGGCTCCTTTCCTCCTCCTACCACGGCTCCCTCTGTCCCTTTCTTTGATGGTCCTTCAGCTCCCAGGACAAGTGACAATGATGCCCTTCTCCACCACGGTCTCTGAAGCCTTGTCAGATTTTTGTCTTCTCCAGCCTGGAGAGAGGAGCCACTTTAAGGCCTCATTATGGTTTCTCCATGTGAATCCCAGTTCCCTCAGCGGCCAGGCCAATGGCAGGCGGGTAGAGCCCCTCCCTCCACCACAGGAAGTCTGGAGTCTTGCTAGAAGGACAAAGGAGCCCAGCTGGCCAGGGCTGGCAGATGCTGAGGTACAGGCTGCTGGCCACAGGGCTGGGAGCCGGCGGGTGCCAGGCGGCTGGCAGCAATTGGCAGGAAGCAGTTGGGGTGGGTCCAGGGTGCTGGGGCAGGAGGGGCGGGTGCTGCAGACAGGTGCAGGGGGTCCCACTACCTGAGCCCAGGATCCAGGGAAGAGGGGGCTGCTCACACTGTGAAAGGGCTCCCCCAACTCCTGCTTTGATGGTTAAGTCTCTCCCCAGGAGAGGAGAAGTACAGCAACTAGCTCAGAGGCCCAAAGAGGGCTGCTGGGGACCGGAAGAGTGTCACATTTCACGGGTGGGAAAAGCCAGCGTGCGTGTGGGGGCGGGGGGAGAGAGAGGGAGGAATATTCTGGACTCTTGCTCCCTGGGAACAGGCTCCCTAACTAGGCGGCAGGGGAGGGGGAAGGGAGCCTGCCATGATGCATCTCAGGCTCCTGTCGCAGGTTCCTGCTTTCAGTAAGAGTCTTTCACTCTGTGCATGCCACATGCTGTCCCGAGCAGTGTAGACACGGGCCCCACTCTGCAGTTAGGCTCAGGGATGGCCTGCAACTTGCCCCAGGAGCCAGGAAGTGGCAGCATCAGGGTTTGGACACAAGCAGCCCGGCTCAAAGTCGCAGCCTGACCTGACTGTGTGCACTGCCTGGGCCTGGGATGGTGGCCAGGCCATCTGCTCCAGGGCCCTTCTCTGTCCAAGGAAACCACTGGCTGGGTGGGGGGAAGCCCTCAGCCATGCCAGACCCTGCCTACACACCCACCACCCTCCTCCTCAGCCTGTCCCTTCCCTGTTTTCTTGCTTGGTACCAGCTGCTGCCCGGGCCCGAACAAATCCCAGTCCCCCGGGCCATACAGTGCTCATGCCCCTGGCCTAGGATCCCATGATGGGAATATCAGCCATATATCACCATTGCCCAGAATGTCTGAAGTCCAGATTCCCAGGCCCAGGTCTCCCAGGTCTGTGATTGGCCACATGTGGCCACATTTGTGTCGCTGGCTCAGAGGCAGGGGTGAGCAAGAGCTCAGGGCACACCCTCCCCAAGGACCTGGCACCAACCCTTAACACCCCAGGAAACTGCCCTGTCACTCAGCTGCTCCCCACATGCCCTTGGCCTCTCTGTGATGTCCCCGCCTTCCCTAAGGAGACTCTCAGTCCACCTCCTCCGGGAGGCCCTCCTTCCTCTCATCCCTGTAGCTGGGCCCTCAGATGCCCAGCAGGTGATGCACTGGTGCAAAGCTGTTCCTTCTCCCTTCGCCATGCCAGAGCCTCATCTTTAACCCACCACCACCACCTCCCTGGCTGAGACCCAGTGTGACCAGGGCCCAGTGCACTGTCTGACCTCAAAGAGCAAGGCCGGGGAGCTGATTTGAGCAAGGGTGACATTAACATTTACGGTCTACAAGGGAAGTGATGCTTTTTTTGGGCTATTCTTGATGTTCTTGTTTTAAGACAGGCTCTTGCTGTGCAGTTCAGGCTGGCCTGGAATTCACTATGTAGCCCAGGCTCGCCTGAACTCATGTGATGCTCCTGCCTCAGCCTCCCAAGTGCTGGGATTACAGGCAAATGCTACCACGCCTGGCTGCAGGTGATGCTTCTCAGACCATGGATTGAGAGGGGAAAGAGCAAGTGCCAGTCCCATCATGCAGGCGCTGAACCTCACTGTCTTTCTGCCTGAGAGCCCAACACACCAGATTCCTACCAGCAAGTGGCTGCAGACATCTCTCGGGCCTCCGACAGGGAGTGCCCCATGCAGGCACTCCGGGAGGCCTTTCCTGATCTGCAGTAGGTCCAGCCACAGCTCTGGGTAACTGCGTGGTGCGAGGATTCGGCACCCGGGCCGCCCGCCTGTGCCCTGTTCTCTCAGCCACCGCTGCGAGTCAGGCCAGGCCCCGTGGACCTGGCAGCCAGAGAACTCGGCCCTCCTCACCTGCTGCCCAAACCCAGCACAGACTTCCCCAGACCAACCCAGCCGGTGATGCAGGCCAGCAGAGACAAACTCGACCCTGCAGAGTACAGTGGTGAGGAAAGATGGCTGAGCCCAGTGTGCTGTCACATGCCCCACCACTTGGAAGGCTGAGGCAGGAGGATTGCAAGTTCAAGCCCAGCCTGTACTACACAGCGAGACCCTGTTTTACCCTCCCTGGGCCTCAGTTTCCTCATCTGTACTAAGAGGCTCAAGAGGATAATAACAGCACCTGAGGTTTCGGTGAGAGACGTGGACAAAGTGCAGGAGGGAGGGAGAAGCTCCCCAAGGCACAGAATCCCTGGAGTCCTCCGGAGATGGCCGAGCCCCCAGCCCTAATTCACTGGGACTCATGGATTGCCCTCTTCCCCGGCAGCACCAGCCCAGCCCAGCCCTGGGAGAGGTGGTCAGCCTGTGGCCTTGTCTTAGGCTGGGTCAAGGCACATCAGGCTCGTCTCCGAGGTGGGACTACATTCCCTCCCACCACCCTTGCCTTCCCCACCCCTGGCCCCAGGCTTGAACTGAAGCCCTGGTTGGGATCTCCCAGAACAGCATGCTGCTGGGTTGAACACTTTCACCCCCCTCCTGTGTTAGTGTGGAGGCTCCTCCAGGGCAGGGCAAGGCCTCCTCCCTATGACACAGGGAGCAGAAGGGGTTGCTCCCCCTTCAGACTAGGTGTCTAACTGCACAGGGAGCTCTATGTCCCCCTGACTGGCAACCCTTAAAAGTAAAAACCACCGGGTGTGGTGGCGTACGGCTGTGATCCCAGCACTTGGGAGGCTGAGCCAGGAGGATCATTGCAAGTTCGAGGCCAGCCTGGGCTACTTATCAAGACTCTGTCTCAACAGACCAAAAATAGATATAAATAAACAAATGGGGCTGGGGCTGTAGCTCAGTGGTGGAGCAATTGCCTAGCACAAACCAGGCCCTAGGTTGGATCCACAGCATGGAAAAAAAGTCTAAATAGGGCAAGGGAAGCAAAGTGGCCCCCAGTAGCACCCTGTCTCCTATGCATCCTCCTGCTGGCATCTGACAACAGGTGTCCCAATTACCTGGGCCACATCCTGAGTCCTGCCCTCCTGCACCAGGAGAGCTGCGGGGAGGGCCATCCTGTATCCTCTCTGCCCTCCTCCTGTCCCCCCGCTGGGGTCAGGAAGCGAAGAGCCCCGTCATCACTCGGCCCACCTCTCACTCACCTCTCTGGGCTTCATCGTGGGCAGCTGCAGTTTCTCTCGTGGGATGGTCTGGGTGGAGGGGGCCCATCAGCGGAAGCAGGGGAAGTGAGGCCCAGAAAAAAACAGAGGCTATTATAGGGCTGCTAGCTCCTGGCCAGGGAGCAGACTGGGCCAGGGTGCAGGCCCTTTGCACAAGATTCTACCTAGCCCTGTGCTCGGCATCTTTCTCACTGATCTCTCTGACCTGTCTTAGTGCCAGGCTGGGCACTGGGAGGGGAGGAAACGCCCATTGCAAGGCCCATTAATGGCCCTGGCATCCTCCAGCATTCTAGGAGTGAGATATTACGGCCCTGGTATGCAAGCTGGGACTCAGCCTGGTGGAGATTAAGCACAATGACTCTGCCACCAGGAGGTACTGGCTCTGGGTAGAGCCTGATGGAAAGGAGGTGTCCAAGACACAGTGGTTCCCATCCCCTTCCCGGCCGGTTCCACCACCCTGGCTTCCGGGTTCTCTGGACAGTAGGCCAAGTGGAACGGGGTGCCATCAAGGTGTGCCCAGCTTGGCTTGGCTTTGCCCACATGGTACAGTTTCTCTCCACCTCCCTGGGCTCTCGGTGCCCCGCAGGCAGCCCGGGAGGTGGCCCAGGCCAGGGAGCACTGGAACGAGCACTAGACAGGGAGTCCTGCAGAACAAGGACCAACCACTTCACAGCCAGACGGACCTGGGCAGCTGCTTCACCTGTCTGAGCCTCAGTTTCCTCACACGTGAACTGGAGAGGAGACTTGCGTGGCAGGCATTTCGCAAAGGACACAGTGAAAGTTCCTACTACTGCACAAACCTTCCTCCCTACCCCACCCCAAAGCCCTGCACCCCTACACGGTGAGCCCCAGTAGCTCTGGAATCAGACACATGGTGGGGAGACCCTGTTCCATGAATCGACCATGGAGCCTCAGTTGGCCGGGCTACCAAACAGGGGTAAAGGAAGGACAAGGCTCCCAGAGTGGCGATGGCACTCAGCTGACCTGTGGTCACCGCAAGTGGCCCACAAATAGTGGCCAAGGCCAGCACCAACCCTCAGCACCCCCAGCACTATCATTATGAGTTCCTCCCGGCACTGAACGGGACTTGGATGTCACCCTCTCCTGCCCACTGCACGGATGTGGGAACTGCGGCCCCAAGAGGGGAAGTGATTTCTCCAAGTCGTCAGGAGTAAAAGGACAAATGGGCGGATCCCAGCACCACCCACCCCAGCCCAGGCCTAGGGAACCCAGGGGTCCTCAGCGAGGCCGCCTTTCGCCCTGCTGCGCGCTCACCCTCGGGCTTGGCGTCGCCCTTCGCGTCCGCCAGGAGCAGCGAGCCCAGATGGGCCAGGAGCAGCAGGACTTGCATGGCCAGGGGCTGGGGACGATCAGCGGGCGCGGCGGGCCTCGCAGGACTGGAAACTTCGCAACGGGGCCGGCAGTGGCTGCCACGCACTCTGCCCGCCCTGGGGGCGGCGCCGCCCGGTCCCCACCCCCTCGAGGCAGGGTTTCTGGCGGCCGGGCGAGGTGCAGCTGTGCCCAGCGTCCCGGCGCCCCCGGGGTCCTGCCGCCGCCGTCCTGCCTCCCTCTCTCAGACTGGGGCCTCCAGGCCGCTGGAGGAAGGAACGGGCCAGGGCCAGGCAGGGCCACGATCTCTACACCCCAGATTCTGCATGCGGGCCTCGTGTGCCCATCTCCGGCGCCAGAGTGCTCACCGGGAAAGCTGGGTTTGTGACAGCGGCTAGTTTTGGGGTCTGGCACCTGGGATGACTTCCGTTTTTGGAACACATAGGACACGCTGGGCGACAAGCCTGAAAGTCGCATTTTGGGATCTCATCAGGAGGGGTGAGGGTGGACAGGGACGTACACAGAGCCATGGATACCCCTGCTGAGGCCACTCCCTACCCCACCCCCAAGGGAACCACTTAATCTGCCTTTTGGTGCTAGGGAGGGAAAGCCAGGGACCCAGCCAGAAATGCTCTGGAGGGTTATCCCTGGGCCAGTGAGTGAATGAGGGCATGAATGAATGGGACATGTCAGAGCCTCTTCACAGATACCCAGAACCCAGCTACAATTCCAGGGGCTCCAGAGCAAGGGCTCTGGTCCAGATGTCAGCTGGGGCATCCCCCTCTGAGGGAAAGCTCCTCTGCCTGGGAGAGACTCAGACAGGGAGCAGAGCCTTTGGGCAGCCCCAACTCTAGAGCAGTGGTTGGTGCACCAGGGCCAGTCTCCCAGGTGGAGGAGAGAACATCCCCATCCCCATGCCAATAAGAACACACAGCAGTGCTGCTGCATCCACAGCCCACAGGATGGCAGGTGAAGAGGCAGGGTATATACTACAGGAGCGCCCCACTTGGCACAGGTGTGTTCCTAAACTAGCTGTGATGGGCCACACCTGGAATAACACTTCTCTGGGAGGCTGAGGCAGGGGGATTGCTGCAAATTCAAGCCTAGGCTATATAATGAGTTCAAGGCCAGCCTGGAATACATAGTGAGATCTTAAGTTGAATTTAAAAAAACAAAATAAAACACCAAAACCAAAAAGAAAGAAAGAAAAAATAGAAAATTACAGTCAAATGGTTACATTGATTATTTCTAGGTTGGTGGAATATATAATTTTTATATATAATTCTATATGTTTCATGTACATTGTCTCATAGTATTTATAGGTAATTTTCATCTTTTAAAAAAATGAATGTACATTACTAGTACAGTTCAAACAAAAGGAATGAGTTATTTCGAGAAGATGGAGACAGTCAGGGACCAGGAGGTAGCTAGCTGCAGAGTCCCTCTCACTGCACAGATGGGGCCCCAGGGACCTAGCAGAGAGCGGAGGTCACATGGCCAGCACAGGGAAGAGGCGTGAGCAGATTCTAAGGACCAGGGTCGGGAGCCACCACAGCTGAGACAGGACTTGGTCCCAGAGGCCACCGGATGTTTTGGATTCGAGAGGATGCAGACAGAGATGCCGAAGTTGGAAGAGGAAATGCAGGGATGGGAGAGGAGGATCCAGAGCCTGTGTTGGCTGGGTCTGTTTCCAGAGTGGTCTTCCCGTCATGGTCAAGTTAGGCAGTGCTGCCCCCCTCTGCAAAAGGAGGAAACTGGGGCTCAGAGAACTGAAACAATCTACCGGACGTCACACTGCTGATGCGGGACAACAATAGGGCAGCATCGGACCCAGCTCCAACTCCTGGTTTGCTAGAGTCCAGGGAGAACCTCCCTCCATGGTCAGGTACCATGGATAGAAAAAAATTCTTGGGCACTGGGACAAGGCCCATGTCCCCACAGTCCTGATAAATCAGGAGGAGAATTCATCTCGGAAGCTGCTACAGAAACGACTCACTCTGGCCAAGCCTGCCCTCCACCCCTTCAGTATCTGTCTCCTGTACCCATCAGCAAATTGCTGGAACTTGAACCTGGTCCAAGCTGCATCTGGGAGGGCCTGTCTCTTTAACCAGCAGTGGCTGCCGCCCGGATGTTTCCCCAAGTACGTGCAACACGTGCTGTTGCAGTTAAAGGGGCAGCACTAGGCTGTGCTGGGGAGGTGTGGAGTCTGCCAGCCCACAGGACAGTCCTCTCTTTCAGCCTCTTTGTCGGCTGGAGGAAGAGCCATGGCTTCCGAGGGATGGACACACTCTGCGCTGCCAGATGCACTGTCACTTTCCCAGCAGCACGTAGCCCCTTAATGGTAATAATATTATTATTATTCCCAAGATGTTCCCTTAAGTTAAAAAAATGTAGGATGCAAGCATATATAATATGCTATAATTTCTCTTTTTTTTTTTTTTTTGAGGCAGGGTCTCTCTATGGAGCTCAGGCCAATCTTGAACTCACTATGTAGCC